GAAACGAAAACCTCAGAATTTAGCAACAATCTCAGATCTGAAACCCTCAATAGTTCAAACATTTATCCCTGAAATCTACAAACTTTAAATCTAAGCTTACGATAAGCAGCTGAATCTAACAGGATAATCTTCCAACTAATACACAATTTAACATATAGAAATTCACAGCAACAAATATTTCGAAAACCGATTAGCTCCCAATCCAAAAAGATTTTTCATCAGAAAATTGAAAAATCATCCAACTTGTCCGTGTTTATAAGATGAATTCAACTTCAACAGTTGGGAAAGGAAAATTTGAACATTTTTACAAAATAAAAAGGAAAAAAAATGAAAACTTCCCTAATTAGTAATCATGTTAAGAATCAATTTGTTTCCAATTAAATATTGGGTACATCGAATTTCCAATAAGCATCATAATCTGCATATATGGAAAGGGAAAATCAGCAAACATTAATTTAAGAAACGGAAACTCACAGAAATAGAAAGCTGAAATCGACCCGAAAACTTCCGGAATTCTTCGGCGCACAAGAGGATCGAGAGACGAAAGGAGCGCCTTTGAGTCCGAGGAGAATCGCTTCGAAGTCAAAGTCGAGTGTTGGAGAAGGAAGATGAAGAGACTGAGAGAAATGGTGATGAAAAGTTATTGCCTCGTTCTTTCTCTCACCTTTATTATTCAATTTTGAATCTAGGGCTCCCAACGGCTAGTTTTCCTTTTTTTTCTTTTTTTTTTTTTTTCAATTTTTTTGGCTTTATTTAATTGAGGATTTTACAGTTATACGCCGATCTGACAATGCGTTTTCGTTTTCACGAGTTAAATCGGCCGCGTCGTGTAAAGCGGGGACCGAGTTTCAAGTCGTAACGGTTATTATTTTATTTGCTTATTATTTAATTAATTCCCCTATTCACGAAAGGGCAAAAAGAAAGAAAGTCCACAACTTTCGATTATTGGTCCAGCCTGGCGCTTCAAACAAATTTGATTTTGGCCTTTTGAGAGAATGACTCGTATGTCACGTGACAATATCGTTTTCTTGCTAATAAGAGAATTGTTATTAGTATTTCAAAAATCTCATTATATATTCCAAATTTTTTATATTTGGAAAGAAAAATACACTTGTGAGGAGTGTAGAATGAGATTTTTGGAGTGCCAATAACACTTTCAGCTAATAATAAAGATAAAGTTAAGGAGATTAAATTTTGTAAATTAATAACATGGAAGTTAACTATTGAATTATTACTTAAGTGTTCATTAGCGTGCTTATTTCTTATTGATGACACATCATTTAGTTTGCAAATTTAATCTACCTAGCATTACTCTAAAAAAAGGTATTTGTTAATTTCTCATCGTGGGTCTTGTATCTTTGGTGTTTGTGTTTGACACTAATGTGATAGTATACCCTTATCATAGAAGTTATTACGAGATTATCTGTATGAGAACGATACCATAGCAATATATTCATGCCATAAAAATTCTTATCTTTTGAAAGACAGACAGATGGCTCATAATATGGGAAATGGATCCTCTCTAGATCCTTTCCATCAAGGCCACCAAGTTTATCCATCCGAGTCATTGAAATTTGATCCACCAACTACAAACAGGGGCCACTTTTAAAAGTTATAATAACTTTAACCATTGGATCAAATTTCAATGACCTAGATAGATGAACTTGGTGGACTTTGTAGAAGGTATTTGGATAGGATCCCTTTCCCATAATACGTGGAAAGTTACTCAAAAGTGGCCAAAGTTGAACCATTTGAAGTGGTCGGTTCAAACCAGTCTGACCATTTTGATAAATTGAAATAAGAAAGGAAAGTCAACCTTCAAATTTTGAATTTGGTGAGTTATTAAATCTAATCTAATATTAAGCACCAAATATGATGCAAATGAATCCTCTCTGGATCTCTTCCACTAAGTCCACTAAGGGGGCGTTTATTTGCCCTCATTAACTGTCACTGGACTAGACTTGACTAACTATTAGTCCAGTTCGGTGTTTGTTATCATGTTGGACTAGTCTTAATAAGACTAGCCCGGACTCACCTGCACTAAAGGCTTCACCAAGAGGTCTTACTGAGACCCCCCAAAAACTACGGGATTGCTAGTCCTGTCTCCATCTTCTGCAAGCAGCATCATGCAAACCCTCCTCCGCGCCTTTTTGTCACCGTGTCTGCTAGAAAACTCACATTCATCTCTCTAAAACAGAAGTCAAAATTCACAGAAGATATTCCATTGAAGACTGACCTTCATATCTCTACAAAAACCAAGAACGGAAAAAAGGGGAAAAATTTCACTTCTTGCACAATCAATAGAGAAAGCAAGTAGGAAGAAAATAAGGGAATCCACAATTCTCTGCCCACTCCCAACACCTCATCACGCTCAGTTCAAGAACCAAGTCATATATGGGTTCAACCACGATTTCAGTGGAGATAGAGGTTGGGGATTTTAAGTGAGTTTTTGGGGTGGAGGATGAGATGGGTTTGTGGGAAGAGGAGGTGAGGAAGATTGAGGATTTTAGTTGCATCGTTGGTGAGGCAAATGGAGAGACTATCTGCCATCACTTTGGTTGCATTGCTTGTTTGGGTTAGAGAGAGACGGTGGGAGGGAGAGAAAGGGCCGGTGGGTGGGAGGGACAAAAATGGGGAAAAAGGGAAAGGGGGATGGAGAGGCGGAAGGTTACTAGGATTAGAGGGATGATTCTAGGAAAAAAAAAAAGCAAAAAGATAAAGTAAAAATAAAATATTAATTAATATATATTAATTTAATATAAAATATTTTAATATTGCAATCCTGCTTTTTAGTCTGACACTGCACCAAACACTTCACTAAGCTAGTCCAACTTAGTGTAGTCTAAACCAGTCCAGTTTAGTCCCTGCAGCTAGTCAAGTCCGAGACAGTCTGATGCAACAAAGCACCCTAAGACTACAAACCTAGATCTTTGCATTTGATCTAACGGCTAAAGTTATTATAACTTTTAAAGTGTGCCCTATTTGTAGTCATTTGATCGAATTTCAAAAGCTCGAATTTGTGATCTTGGTGGAAGGGATCCGGAGAGAATCCCTTTGCTTCAAGTATATACTATCATGGTGCACCTGCTTTTCTTTTTAAAAGAGGACCAACTCATAGACCACTTTTTTGGGGTTTGGATTTTGACTTATTTATGAAGTATAATTTAGTAATATATAAACTAGTGGCATAATGATTGAGAACGACTTTCAGATTCATATTTCACAAGGTACATAATAGATTTGATTTCTAATGCATGTGAATCACACGATATTGATGCATATAGTTGAGAGGGAGCCTAATTACATAGGCTAGCACTCAAATTAGTTATCTTATACATGAACTGTTGTCAAGTCTAGTGTTGCAATCAAATTAGTTATCTCATACATGAAGAACAAAATATAGATCACCAAGATGTTAGTGTAGATATGTTTATCCCATATAGGCCTGGCAAACAGGTTGTGTTTGTCGTGTTCGTGTCGTACTAGTTATCTTAATGGGTCGTGTTGTGTCGTGTCGTGTCGTGTCATGTCAAAGCCGTTAAGATAACGAATTTGTAACAGGTGACCCAATAATGACCTAATTCGTTAAAAGGTTGTGTCATTTCTTGTTAGATTAATGGATCATACAAGAATTTGACATGCCTAATGTCTACTTATCGGGTTTTTAACGGGTGTTACCCGACAACGATCGGACTCGTTAACAGGTTAATCCGAAACTCGTCATTTTCATGACATTTCATGTCGGGTTAACGGGTCCTATAAGAAATTGCCAAGCCTAATCCTATACCTAAACATTAATGTAACATTCTATTTCATGGCCTTCTCGATCCAAGTACACGTCCTTAAAAGAGAATTATTGGAGTAATTAAGAAAGTAAATAATAAATATTGGAGGAAGTAGGAAGTAGGGTTTACAACCTTCATACGTTGGAAAATATTAGGTTGGAATGCACATGAACATGTTCTGACTTCAAATTAAAGCACAAAGTTAAAACTTAATTGCTGCAGAGAAGAGAGAATTGATCATCTACTGTAGGAGATGAACAGATCGGGCTGCCACAATAGCCGGGTTGCTATAATTCCCCTTCCGAAGCTCCGCCTCGAATTCGATCAGCCATGACTGCAAGCTCTCCTTCAATCTAGGCACAATGTGATCACTGTCACCACTTTCTTCTCCTTCTTGCCCTCGGGATGCATCACGATCAAGCTCCGTCGACGCAACAAGCGTGATTAAACGATACAGAACCCGGCAGGACCCTGCGGGAACCGCCCCATAAAACAGTCAATAAATTAAACGAGCATTTAAACAAACAGCTGGTAAACATAAAAACAAAATGGTTTGCTTGACTCACAAGCTACGATACCCAGCAATGCGACAGCGTTTCGCGTCACACGGCAGCACAGAGCTAGAGGATATAAGATGACGAGGAAGATTACAAACAGGACGTTTTCGATCACCGATTTGATTCTGAACATCGCCATTTTGATCATGATTTGGAGTATCAATCTCCCCGCCTCGATCACGAATCGGAGCATCAGTACCTCCTCCGAGGAGCTGTCGAAAGAAATCGCGAGCAGCAGAGCCCCCGGAAACAGCACCAGTAGCAGCTTCAGAAAAGCCACGCTGGTCACAGTTTCAGCTGCATGAAAAGCTTCGGACTCCATTGATGCTGCTGAATCAAATGACGATCTTATCCTCCCTGATGAAGGTTTAAGGGTACTTGGAAAGACAGACGTGACGTGAACCCAAAGAATACTCCTCCTCTTGGGCCTTGGGGCATTGGGCCTCGCGTCAAACAAATCTATGAGATTTTCGATTTGGTCCCCCAACTTCTTTTTTGTCTCAAATCCTAAACTTTTAATATGAACAAAAAGTGACTTTCATTACAAAAGTTGATATAATGATAGATGACTATGTTTTGGACTACATTTCAATAAGCCATCTACTTTGATCCAAATACCCTCCATCTACCCACACGTAACTACTTTTATGAGTTCCATCTCATGTCACATATGTAACTTTCAGTTTTTTTTTATGCATAAAAGTTGTGACATTTCAATGTCCATAAAAAAAAACTGTCTTTCTGGCACAGTCAATAGAGCGTCGATCATTCAAAAACCTAAGCTAAATTGAAATGTGCCCCCCAATACTTCTGTGAATTTTAGCTTCGGAAGCATGCCATTTTTATTGTTATTTAACACATTTTTCAAATCTTGGAAACTAATGAACTTGAGGTGTAAGTGGTGGATTGCCCTGACAAGCATGTCTTCTTGTTTAATCCAAGGATACCTTCATCCCTCCACTTATCAATGTAGATTAGAGTAGTAACGTCTTCCTTAAAAAAACTCCAAAGTGCAAAAAAAAAAAAAAAAAAAAAGAAAAGAAAAAACTTGAGGAGGAAAGTATTTAAAAGACCAAAGTGAAAAAACTCCAAAAACTTAGGGCGAAAATCTGAAATTAGCCCTTCACAAATATACTTGCAAAAAATTCTCGTTGCTTTTGGGTACTACTGTGAATTGGGTTGTGGCGGGCAGGGGCAGGCTGGGCAGCGGAGGTTCAGTTTCTTTCTTCCAGTTGGGTTTTCAAAATTTACTTCCAGAGAGAATCAAAACCCATAAATTTGAAGCTTTTGAAAAGATGGACGCCGAACCTGCCATCACCGCCGCCACCGCCACCGCCACCATGGATTTCAAGCTACTAGCACTTGTGGTATTTACAGGGGCTCTGATGGTTGCAATTTTTTCCGGCGGCCCGTTGAGGAAGATGACGGTTTACGGAATCATGCACTCCATCCTGAAGCCTCTGTGTCTGTTGGTTGGTGTGTTGTATATCGCTTGGACATTGCTGTATCTTGTTGCTTGTGAGTGAAGCTACCTACATTTTTTCGTTTTCTGCGAGTTAGTTCACCAGCTGTTTGTTCAAATGACTGATTGAGTATTTGTCGACGGTTGCTTTTCTGCAGGGTGCTTCCGTCTCCTCTTTCTTTTGGCCCGAATTGTGTGGCGGAATGTCCCGAGAGAAGGTTTGGCGGATAGATTGGACACATGGCTCGAGGAATTTGAGGCGAAGCTCGACAATGGAAATGATAGCAGCAACCCAACTACTGAGACTGAAGTAACATCACAATCCAAGTTGAATGAGTCCATCTCCGGACACGAGCATTCCACTTGAATCTTCAATATCGTATCTCAATTTTTCATTGTTTTGACAAGGCGATATTCTAAACTACTTTAATTTACGGGATGGGTTTTACGGAATGAGGATTTGTATTTGGATGGGTGGGGCACCTTACCCTGCTCAACCGACCTAACTCACGTTTGCGAACTTTGATATTCTATTCCATTTCCTTCCCTTTTTATGAGTGTAAATTGCAAGTATGTTCAGTTTGTAAAAGATTTACTTTCCATTAAATTTCATCAGTTTTTCCCAAAATCCTCGACTTTGTTTTCTTGTTCAATGCTAGAGCTTAGAGAAACATCGAAGTAATTAAGAAGTACAGGGAATTACTAGATATTATGTTCTTAAAACTGCACAACCTACATGCTAACTCAACAGCCAAATCCACCGGCAACTAATGCCGGATCTTACCAAAAATACCCGTCTGGTCTATACCCAAAAGTGTGCCATTGGCCTTCGAAGAACGATGGCGAGGAGGATCATGAAGTGCAATGAGTGCCGCAACTAAACCAGCATTGCTTGCTATGCTAGGCTCAGTGAACTCCTGCTTGTCCCTTTCATCTACGAACTTGTCCAAATCGTTGGGCCCTGCTACCATGGCTCCCAAAAGCACATTTGGATTCGGGTCCTTCGAGTTTTTCCATTTCTCTCCCTCTTCACAAGAGTACTGATGACCGTCCCAAGGGATTGATGCGCTTCTGTGGTGCACTTGGGTTGGAAACTTATCTCCGAAGCCAACCATGTAGCTCATCTTCATTGGATTATCTCCTAGAATGTAATTGACCTGAAGAAAAAAGACTCGTGTTATTATGCAGATGGAAGAGTAAGCTTGTATATCCGTAGATTCGATACTTCAGCTAATATATAACAATTGCCTGAGTTATCGAGAAATTGCGCAACATATCGACGGAAAACATATTGATGGAAAAGCCAGTATTAATGCAACTCCCACCAGAACTACGCAGAAGATCAAGGTAGTCGCTGTACAATTTACTAAGAAAAGATGCTGTTGCAGCATATTCGAGAGGTGCCCGCGCGCCATAAGTAGGCCTTTGGAGGAGCAATCCACCTGCATTTTTGGGAATTTTGAGGCATTGAACTACTCATAAATGCAACAATAGCTGCATGCATTGTAATATGCTCAGATATATATATACCTGGTGTTGTTTTCTGAGAAGAAATATAAGAACACATGAGGGTGTCAGTAATGTCTGATGACGAGTCGAAAGAAGATTCATACGGGAATCCAAGATCACGAAAATATCGGAGACGTGTTAGCAAGACCTACAAAGATGTAATGTACCAACTAGTTATTCTAAATCCAGAACTGGGAGAGCACAAAATTTATTCAACTTCATAAATTCCAGAGCAAATGTTGCAGTAAATAACCGCATTGGCAGTGAGCTTGTTGTTCCAATAGAAAATCCCTTTATCGGCACTTGTTTCGTTAGCAACTGCGTACTTAAATTCTTTTGTGGCATAATCTAGATATGAATTATCGCCGGTAGCGAAAAATAACCATGTTCCTCCCCAGACCAGTTCATCTTGGAAACCAGAAGAGTTGTAGAAATTCCTAGATTCTCCTCCACAAGCATCAACCTTGGTGTATGCTCCTTGCCTAGCAGGGTCTAGTTTGGTAATTGCACTCTCGTATAGCTTCTCAGCTGCAGTGACTAGTTCTCCTGAGTATACATTGTCTTCTTTAAACACTAATGAAGCGGCGGACAATGCTGCAATAATTTCCCCTGCTAAATCAGAAGCAGTGCTGTCGCAGATCGAAACAGGTCTGTCGTAATGCATGTCTTCAGGCCTTTGCCAGCAGTTTATGTCATTAGGAACCTTGGCATCAATGTTTCCACTTCCAACCTAAATTGGAAAAAAGGAAAAGGAGAACATTGTCCCTAATAGTTCATTATCGTGTTCGAGAAACAGGATTCTGTTGCAAAACAATGAAAACTGAAAATGAAATGGTCATCAAAACGGGACTTAAATTTTTCAGAAGGCTTGCCTGAGAATACAATATGAACTCTGAAGTTGTGTTTGGAGGAACAAAGAGTTTGAGCAAATAATCACTGCCCCATTTTATTATTTCCTTGACATGATCAAGCTCACCAATATCAGCATACTTTTCGTGGTATTCAATCACAGTCCAACTCAACAGGGTTACGGTATAAGCTGTAGGGAAGCTGAACTTTATGTTGTTGCCAGAATCATAGAAACCACCCCAAAGATTCACCGGTTTACTGCTCAAATTCCCATCATGCAATCCTGAACTGGCGCGAAATTTTACCGGACTATTATTTGGGTAAACCCCAGCTGATCAGATAAGAAAATTTTCAGCAAGTTAGATAAAAGAAAGAAGTTCTATGTAATTCTTTCTAATCAAATGCATGATGGTAGAAACATGTTACATATTTGCGCGTCAAAGAACGTCAGAGCTTGGTTCAATGCACGCGTAAGATTATTCGAAGGGTGGCGATGATGCTTTTGAAGAGCATTAGGTAAAAGTGCTACCAGTAAAATTAGAGCTAGGACAAGAAAAATAGTGGATGCAGAAATATAAAGACAACGTTTGAGGTAGTTCTTATCGGTGATAACGAGATTGAATTCGTAAGACTTGGAGTACGGAGAAGGGATTGAATCATTGGCTATGGAAGACTGAGGTAGTAGGTTATAGTCAATTTCTATGGAGTTCCAACGACTCGCTGAGGGAAGCAAACGGTGGGCCGCGGAAACTGTATGGACAAACCTCACAGGTTCTAGGTCTGCTGCCGATGCTTGTGTCTGGGAACCTAGAGAAGATGGCATTGTTTGTGAAGAGATGAGAAAATGGCAAGTAAAAAAAAAAAGAAGAAAAAAAGGTTTTTTTGATCATCAAATGTGTATACAAACTAAATATCATAGGTTTTATGATCATAGTATAAATTATAAAATTAGTTGTCGGTAGTTATTCACAATGAAATAGTTTCTTGATAAAACAGAAGCATGAGTTGGCTAATAAGGCAAAAAACTTCGATGCTATCGAAGAAAATATATTAAGAAAACCACGTCTGTGTTAAATGTTTGATGCTTGCCAACAGCTGCCTATGAGAATATGCATATATTTTGTCTTTTTGATATTTGGCCGGCAATTGACATATGAGCACAGTTGAAAGATTATAGGTAAGAAAAAATTGAGTACCGCTAGACCAATTAATCATGCGCTATTTTGTAACTTTTAACAGTTTCCATTTCTCCAACAAACCATTCGCAATCAAAATCTATGGGCATGGCCTGACTTATTTGGTAACTATCAAGTAACCACTTCACGTCTACTTTCCTAAGAACCTACTAATTTACTATAAATTAAGAGAAAGATTAGTACAGAAATTATTATTAAAGAGATGATTTCATATTCAATGAAACTCATGCTTACATAAATGGTTCTCTTGTCTCCAAAAATGTGTTCTGGAAGTCTTCGACCGTTTAGTCTTTCAGTTGAATCACTTGTATTTCTTAGCTATTTCTCCTCTGTGAGGAATGAAAATTCCAAGAACTTCAACTCTTATATGTTTGGGTCCAAGTTCCTCAACATGCATAAGAAAAGTTGTGCAGAAAATATTTGACTTTTTTCTTTGAAATGAGTGATTCATGCATTCACAGTTTCACATGTCTGCATACATACATGGTTTTTTAGACTCTTAAGATTTAAGAAAATTATGATTACCGACCATACGATTGTAATTCAACAGTAGGTGGTTATTTAACTTTTATTATTGTACTTTTTCCTCCACTGTTAAACTAAGATTAAACGGTGGTGGACCACAATTTTCTTGAATTAAGATCAAACCTTGGAGTCTAAAGGAACTCCTTGAACATTATGTATTTTTAGTTAGTTCTTTTTACATATGTGTTAAATTGTGATTTGCATACAACATGACAGATGAGACACAAATGTGCATATAAAAAAATTCTTTTCACATACAATGTTTCCTTACAACTAAATTTGTTCCAAGATTAAGCTATATATATACACATACATACATACATACATACATACATACATACATACATGCACACACCATAGACATGTATACTCAAAATTACCATGCCACCATTCGATGTTTACCTCCTTGCTCCTTGTTTCTCTCTCACTCTTCTTCTTGATCATGAAGTCACATGGAATTAGCAACACCACTAGTTCTTCATCCTCAACCAATATTTGCCCCACATATGATTGCGGCAACGGCGTTGCCTATCGCTATCCGTTTCGGCGTGTCAAAGCCACCTCCGCCGATCAGTACTGTGGTTACCCTGGTTTAGGCATCAGATGCTGTGCGCCGGTGAGCCTATCCTCACCCTACAAACCGACTGATACTATGTCAAACAAATAAACTACATTGATTCTACCGCCCATCTAGTTGACATCGATGTCGTTGGCCAAACATGCCCTAGCGCACGACACAATGTAACCCTAGGCACCCTCCCTCTTGATTACTGCCCACTAGCCCACTAGATTTGTTGAATAAGAAGAGTATCCAAGATAACTCTAATGATCCCAAGAAGAAGAAAATAGAGCACACTCTTAAAGAAAGCTCACAAAACAAACTAATTAGCAAATCTTTTCTTATTTAGCTCTAGGCTTTGTTTTTCCTTGGATGATATACAATGCTTGGGGACTTGGGTATTTATAGCAAACCAAATGAAAGCTAGACCACACACTTAATTAAACTAAGATTATTTACTACCACACAAAACCCATTAATTGCACCTAATTTTTTTCCACTCAACCATACCTAACATTGCCTAACTTTGCAATTGTAAGCAATTACATCATCAAACTAGATATGGACTTGGACTTTAGATTGGGTTGTGGATTACTTATGGTTTTGGGCTGACATTGATTCTCAACAAAATTTGGATCTCTTTTTTTAACCCTCCTATCGTGCCTCCCATTGGGTGCTTAAGATGTGGTGCCATGCAGTGGCGAAGCTATTAAGGCGGAAAAAGAGGCGGCCGCCCCTCTTCACGTCGGAAAATAAGGTCAGGATTCTGGTTTGCTGTGCTACCGCCCTTTTGGTTCTATTGGAAACGAAGTCTGCTAAAGGAGGGAGAGCCTCTTTGTTCCAACGAAGAAGACGATGTAGAGGAGAAATTTTTTGGGGTTACGGGGAACTCCACGTCACCATGAAAGGGGCATTCCAGCTATCCATGGTGATTTGGGGTTCCCGTCATCCCGAAAAATTTCTCCAAAACGTGGGAGGAATTCTAAGTTCGTTAATGTCTTTTAATTAGTCAACTTAATTATTAAAGACAGAAAACTTAACAATATATATATATCCGTAGATAATTTAAAAATACTACAAAAAACGAGTAGCAACTACGAAGATTAATAGTTATTTGGTTGTTGTTGGTGGAATAACGATGATGTTACTAACGAGAAAAAGGTGACAAAATGTCCAAAATAACTATATTTTGGTTTTTGTCACTTTTTTTTTTCATTGATAACACATTGGTACCCTAATAATAGTCAATGATGGATTCCAGAAATATTATTGGTGGGTCAATAAGGATAGGGTGTGGCGCACAAATTTGTTTGGACCAAATAACATGTAATGTAACGACCCGTCCCCAATTATTATGATTTTTATAATTTTTAAATATGAAGTTACAAAAATGCCCTTCGAGGCAAAGTGTTGACTTTTGTTGACTGTCGTGTTGTGCCACGTAAGGTTCATTTTCTTGGTGTATCCTCGTAGTACTCGTCACTACGAACGCGTGGGCGCAAACGGATCGTGATTTGGAGTTATAACGAATGAGATATTAACGTTTAAAGTCGAGGGAAAAATTATAAATTTATCTATTTCTAGAAAGCTCCAGATTTTTGGAGCGTAATCTAGACAACCACGTGTGTGGCCCAAATTTAAAGAAAGAAGGATGGGCGGTGGTGATGAATTATAAAGGAGAGAAATGAGGGAGGAACCGGACTAATGAGAAAGAAGAGAAAGAGAGAGTGACCAATGGGAAAAGAGAGCAAGGAGGGGAAAATAGAGAGGGAGAAAGGAGAGGAACCGACCGGGTTCCCTTTCGACCCACGACCCAGGTTGTAACCGGTGGGTTCTCAGGTGAATTTCACCATTTTTCTGACAACATGGGCCGATTCATCATTTCCAATCATCAATTATACTCTTCCTCTGCCATTTCCACTTGAAATTTGAGAGGATTGGGTTTGGAATTTAGGGGTTTTGCACCGGTGGGTGCGATGGTACGGGTTGCGATCCACCAAATCCGAAGGTACGTCAATCAACCACCACCATCAATAGACTTCCCTTAAGTCCTGAAACAAAGCCCATGCATTGATTGGGGGCGTCAGAGTTGTTTTGGGAGACAAATCAAGAACACCAAATTTAAGGGTTTCTGGCTGGTTTTCATGAAATTGAGGCTTTTTTCGGCCAAATTAGCCTTAGTAACAAGTATGAAAGTTGCTCCACTCATTGAGATCTTCATTCCTGTAAAGTTTGAGAATTTTTAGAAATAGTATAATTTTCCAACGAGTCAGGACGGTCGACCGCCACCTGTGGCGGCGCATGGGCCAAGATGTCCCCTGACCTTCCTAGACTAAATTTGAATACCTTGATTCCATTGGTGAAGTCCGATTGATGAATTTCCGTCATTTGAACGTAGTTTCATTAAGGTCCGCTGCTTGATTATTATAACAATCAACGATCCGACCATTGGATCGTCACCAAACTTTGATACATTATAATATGTAATATTTGAGGATGTTAAAAGCTTACGGATCGGGAATCCGACATACGGATCTTCCCGAATAGGATATGTAAGTTATATGTTCTATTGATTAGAATTCTATGACATGATTTGATAATTGTTCTAAGCACCGATCATTCGTGACAACTTGATGTTTGTGCTAGGGAGTTGTAGCGTGGACTACAGGTGAGTGGGCTTTTGGTTTTCTATATATATATATATATATGTTTCCCATAAACTGTTTTAAATGGAATTTCGTTTAAAATGCCATGTCATAATTGCTTTACATTTTAGCATATGCATTAGTATAGCTGTTCATAATGTTGCATGATACTGCGAAGGCCAGGTAAGTTCAGGTGAGTACATATTAATGATAATGGATGCATTGTTTGTGGTTATACGTAGATGCATTTAGAACTCATTATCCTGCACCCCGGTGTTAGTGCTCCCGCCTATGGCTAGGGTACAGTCCTTCACACGATGTTCACCTTCCGCACCACACGTTGACCTTGGATCCAAGTTTGGTGCACAACCCTATCGTACAAACCACATTAGGTGGTTCCGACTTGTGTGCAAGTTTAGAGTCGTACATGTCACATTAGGTGACTCCGACTAGATTGATGAGCAATAGGTTCAACTGTACAGGTCACATTAGATGACTCCGGCTGACATATCATTTTTACATTGATTTATTTCACCTAGCTTACTTATTTCATTGCTAAGACACTTGACATAGCATATGCTTGGTTTTCACTACTCTCAAGCATGATTTCTATATACGTATGTATTATTATTTTCTGGGAAATTATATGGGTTTTACGGTGAGGGGTTATAACGTTTTCAAAAGGTTTTTATTAAAAACTTTATTTTCAGGCCCACTCACCCTTGTTTTTGCGCCCCTCCAGGTTTTAGCTGCTGAACGAGGATTCTTGGCAAATCTTAGTATAGGTGGCTACCTTCGAGGGTATAATCCTTACCCACACTACTGTACTTTACTTATGCTCTGACGTCGTGTGTGAAATGGGTTCATCCCCGTTCATAGCACACTCTTGTCTTTAGATACTTTTAGGTTTAAATTTATTCCATTTTCCACATAACTATACTTTATGACTTCGTCACCTTCCGGGTGTCGGCCAGTACAGCTCGATTCGGAGTCCTAGTGGACATTCCGGATCGGGGTGTGTCATGTAAATTGGCACTTCATCGAGCCTTGGTAGGCCTAAGATCATTTGCCAAGTCATATTGGACGCCAATCGACGGATGCCAACAGCTTTCAAACGAGCATGTCGACTGATGTCAATAACTTTTGAGCAAGCATGCTAGCATATGCCAAGTGAACCTATCGAAAGATGCCCATAGCAACGCCTTCAAGGGCATGAGGCTAGCAGCTACCCTGCTCAGTGCCAGAGTCAATTCGTTAGGTAGTTGGAGGATAGCTTTTAAAGACATCTTAGATTTTCAAAAGGCAACACCCAACTCTTTTACAGAAAATTTCTAAGCTTAAAAGTCAACTGATCCACCTTGTCCCAAGTTGGATCCACCCCTGATAATATCAGCCAAAATAGCTGCTAATCTTCTTAGTTGTTGCTCACTTTTTTTTATAGTAGAATTCCTTTGATATATATCTTCACTATACAGGTCACCAAGTTAACATACAAGAATATTACATGGTGGAGAGATATTATATATTTGAACTAGCAATATCAAGATTATTATAAAATATATTCAGACGACTAACATGTATTAATTTGCTTTGTCATCTCAAGATTTGACAATGATTTGTTTTCTTTCTCTCTTGAGATGCTGCATGGCTCACACATTTGTTGAAATTTATTGGGTTTAATTGGACTTTTGAACAAAATGTAACGCATGCTATCAATCTGACTCTTGACCTCGTCGTATCTCAGTCCTCCAGATGAACAAGAAAATAATCTTTGATTCAAATAAGGAAAAATTAGTTTCTGGTCTCTAGTTTTTAATGTTTATTAATTAAGATTTTATCAGTTTTTATATTTTAATCAAAATCTTTAGCATTAATATATTATTGAATTACATGTAAGTTACATAATTTTTATAAAAATAAAAAAAAATTAGTAATTGATTTAGAGTTTTAATACTCACACCCTTATTAAACTCCTAATTAATTTTCAATTCAAACATTTCCCAAATAAAAAAATAAAATTAGAATAAGTTTGTACCCACTAAATTTTTACAAAAAAAATTCAATTTTTTAATCTTGTATGTATCCATTCTTAAATTTACCAATTTGTTAAAAATGTACCCTTTTTAATTTAAAATGTACCCCATTTTTAAGGGTAAATTACCCCTCAGGTTTGGGATTTATTACAACCGCATATAACATCTTCAAAATATTTTACTTTCATAACTCAACTACTATTTTATTTCAATATAGTACCTCTATTACATTTTCCATCCATTAATCCGTTAAAAGTTGATGTGACTGCCACAGTTGTGCCATGTGGCTGCCAAATGTGTGCCACGTGGCAAAAAAAAATGATTTACCCTTAAAAAAAACCCAAATTGAAACCCACCTCCGCGCAACCCATCATCCCTGCAAATAAACCCAGAAACCTTCCCCCCTCCCCCGACCCACCTCCCTCTCCTCCCATCACCACCGCAGCCCTTCCCCATCACCATCGCAACCCCCAGACCACTCTGTCCTCTTCACCTTCCTAACCCATCTTCTTCTTCCTTTCTCTTCATCTCCCCTTCCCTAGCCGAGACCCACCGCCGAAGACGACGCCGAACCGGAACCCAAATCCTTTTGTCTGAACCATTTATAGAGCCCCGCTTCCAACTCCTTCCCTTCCCTTAGCCCCCTCCCCCCGCCGCCATTCAACCTTTTGCCTCCCTCTCCTTCGCTATCTCCGACATCTCTCTCTTGTTATTTTGCATTTACTTGCTTTTTTTTTTTTGGTATTTTTTTTGTGATTCTTTCTGACTTGGTTTATGGGTTGGTGGATTTGTTTTAGATTTGATGTGAAGGGTTATGTGACGAGGTTTAGGAATCTTGATTGGGCTTGAACAAGCGGTGAAAAGAGTGCGTCTCTGGGGAGAGGGAAGGGATGGTAGTTAGAGTGGGCCCCATTGCAGCGAGTAGGTGGAGGAGGAGTGTGAGAATGATAGGGTTGGACATGGTGGCGGTGAGTAGAATCGGAGGTGGAGGGGTTTGGGCTCGGTGAAGGTGATGGGGGTCGGGAGGGGAAGGAGAAGATGGGTTTCTGGGTTTTCTGGGTTTGTTTGGTTTTTTTTTTTTTTTAAAAAAAAAAAAATAAATAGTGGAGGAGGAAGAAGGTGGGTCCGGAAGGTGAAGAGGGATGAGTGATCGCGGCCCGGGGGGGGTTTGGAAGGTTTCTGGCTTTGTTTGCAAGGGTGGGGGGTTGCGCGAAGGTGGGCCTCAATTTGGGTTTTTTTTTTGGGTAAATTATTATAATATTTTAAATAAATAAAAAAAATTATTTTTTTGCCAAGTGGCACATATTTGGCCACCACGTCAGCTCTTAACAGATTAATGGATAGAAAATGTAACAGATATAATATTGAAATAAAATAGTAGGTGAGGTATGAAAGTGAAATGTTTTGAAGATGTTGTATGTGATTGTAATAGACCCCAAACCTGAGAGGGTATAGTGTAATTTACGCCATTTTTTTTTTATATAAAATTTCATTCAATCTTTTCTGTAATCCATATTTGAAAACTTATATGGTACATTCCATTTCGTTGATTTGAGAATGTATCCATGTCAAGTTTAATAGAAGAAATTAATAATGTTATTAAGGCTAATTTATTTATTTATTTTATTTTATTTTTTTGCTTTTGAAAAATGTATCCATACTTTGGTACAATAATTTTTTGGTTAGTTTTGATGAATGTACCCATGTATATACACACACACACACAAAATATATTGGAGAGTTAATTCATCTTTAGTATTTTTAAGCCCATAAAATATGGGTTTTATAAAATATCATGTAAATAACTACAAATTTTATTTTTAATTTAAAAATATAATAGCCTACATAGAATAATTGAGTTCGCTAAATCCTTTGCCATTTGTAAACTCCTGAAATAAATTATGACCAAATTGCGCTGCCATCCCTTTCAATGGAGCAGGCCCTCCTTTGTTAGTACACATCCCCTAAAGCTATTATTCTAATCTTTTGGGGAGGATGTACACGAATTTGGTCAGGTATCAATAATGCCGATATTTTTGTCAATAATGTTGATAAAATAGTGAAACGGTAATGTTAAAAAGATTAAATTTGTAGATAAAATTTACAAACTAAATAATATGTTACCAATATGATTGAGTATGTTTATCAATGTTTTAAGTAATATTCCAATTATCAACTTACATGTCATTTAATTTATACAATTTTACTTACCAATTTAGTCACTCTAACATTAACTATAATGAAAACACGTCAATACGCCCTTCTATTGACGAAACAAATTGATACGTTTTTATATTGACTTACAATCTACCGTTAATATCAAGTATATCTCGTTCAAATGTTTACCGTAAATAGTGTATATCCCGTTCAATTGTTCACGTATATCCCGTTCTTGCGTTCACTGGAAATTTCTTCGGCAAAAACACACAGAAAAGTCAATTCAATATACTAAGCCATCGTCGTATCCATCTCTCACGAAAAACCCCACCCACTTCCCCTTCCGATGGTCAAATTAGATAATAATATTCTTCCCCTTTGATTTTCTTCCGTATATAATTTCATCCCACTAGCTTCCCAATCTCTCTTTTCAGCCATCAAAATATATTATTCTCCATGTCCCTTTGAGCTTCAACAAATTACTATGCCTACCCAGTTTCTCCTAAAACTACCCATCTCCTTCCTCATCATCTTCCACATTTTGATCACCGTAATATTACTCCCCACCGCCGCTTTCGGCGAGGATGATCCCCAATACACCGAGTGCCGCAGCTACTACAACTGCGGCCTCCTCAAAAACATCTCCTACCCCTTCTGGGCCACCGGCAGCCGCCCCCAACACTGCGGCCGCAAAGACTACGAGCTCACCTGCCGAGAAGATCAATACCCTGTCATGAAAATTAAACACCAGGATTTTCTTGTGTTGAACTTTAGCGGACAGTTTTACACCATGACAATCGCTCGCTCAGATCTCTGGGGCACCCCCTGCACTACCAACATTGTCAACACCACGTTGGACTACGACCGTTTTTCCTACGTCCAAGCTGTTCGGAACCTGTCGCTGTTCTACGGCTGCCCGCCGCAGAGCAAGTCAGTACTCAATAGCTTCACTTGCAAGGTAGAGGGTACGGACCACAATAGATCATACTATGTCGACGACTCTTTGTCGAGGATTCCTATGAAAAATTGGAACTCGTGCTATGCGAATATTCGAGTTCCGATTATGTGGGAGGATGTGGATGCTATGCAGCTGGAGAATGTGACGACGGGTGTGCTCAAAGAGGTTTTGAAACAGGGGTTTCAGGTGGCGTACGATGCGGAGTGGGAGCCGTGCGGGCGATGTTTAATGTCCAATGGAACCTGTGGATCGAACTCGAGTTATGATTCTTTTCTATGCTTTTGTGGGGACGGACCTCATGATCAGACGTGCCCAGATGTTGATGGTACGCATATGCTCCTATTCCTTAATCTATCTATTAATTACTTGAGATCAATTTTCTTGGTTTAATATAAGACTAGATATGTTACTTAATGTTACAGTCTAGTGGTAATTGATAGGTCTTAGTTTGATTTTTGCTAAAAGCGAGTTTAAACTACAATATTGCTAACACATGTAAGGCTTAGCCCCTCCTTCACCCCTTTAGTATAGATAATATATATAACAATTAAGGATGAATCCAGGTGAAATAAGAGTTTATTTTTTTATTTTTTTTATTTTGGAGTTTCTGTCAATTAGTCAAAATTAGACAACATCAAATATTCAACTCTGTTGGCAATGACTGAATAAATTGTCCATGATGATGTAACTAGGTTTCAGATTATAAGACATAATTGGGGAATGCTTGGTTAGTTTGGGTTTCCTATCTTATCTAAATTCCAAAGGCATATAAACCTCCCTGATTGGACATGGACGGTAGACACCAGTAGTGATGCTTCTTTGACTAGTCATCGCCATCTAAAACTTGTGGACAAACCAGAAGGTTTGTTACCAGTCGTTGGTGAAAACACATGCCACGTCGGAATTGACCAGTCAAAGGTCAACGAGGTTAGCAAGGAATTCTAAGATTTTAAATAGTTCACACTTCACGTAACAATTGATCTTGTGATTCTTTCAACAGACAATTTCTCCCCCTTCTGACTGAGATCAGATTAGGTGTAGTGGAGCAAGATTGCTATTAAGTCTAACAGAGCACATTGTAATTAGGGTTGAATTAGGAGAAATTCTTACGTCCGGCTATTTTTACATTTTTTTTTTTTTTTGTGCTTGTGTTACACATGCAGCTGGATATAAGAATATGTTAGACTTTGCACACCCACACCACACGTCCGTATACAATTTACAGAAAAGCTCATAATGATCCATCCCATGAATTCTAGCGTCTCCCACCCCGACTTGATCCCATCCCTTGTGTCTTGGCCGAAAGTGTCACACCACGTGACGTTTGGACCAAAAACTTTCTCCTTATTCAGACATTTAGTGAGATCGAGTTACATGAAATGGATTGAATTAAGTCCAAACTAGATACTATGCATATCATAGTGTAGAATTAAGTTAGTGTATAACCACCCCCATGTTGTATTATTGTTAAACACAATTACTATGAGTCATAAGTCTTCGATTCAGTGCACGTCTCCATCATCTTAGAGCAAATGTTTTGTTACTTTTGTGGCATGCAGCAGAAAGAAGAAAAGTGCTCAAAATTCCCTACTTCTTTCTACACTTTCGGTTCAACCAAACCACAAATCTCAACTTTCAAGCAAATCCACCGAAACATATGTAGTGCTGCATCACTCATTTTATTGCCTACCTCAAAATTGAAAATTTCTACCCTATTTTTTGGTCGGTTCGAATCTGTAATGATCCTTACCTAAACAAAAACATTTGGTATTTTCGTTTGCTATCCAAAAGTTTAGGAGGAGGGGAGGCTATACCCCATTTCAGAGCCAGGCATATATCATTTTTTTTTTAATTTTGTTAACTTTCGAGAACACTTCGGTTTTCAGTATATTTCAATTTATTTTCGGTCTTTGTTCGATAACTTTCAATTTTCATCGAATTTGGTTCAAGTGTAGGTATTTCCTTTTTCGGCATTTAGCATTGATTTTTCTGAATCTCATTCCTTGTTCAAAAATCAAAAGGCAACATTATTGCCAATAATGTATTGCTTCACTAAATATTATCAAATACTAGTTTCTCGAGGGGTGTCCAAATCACCAAGAACGTAGTGGAAAACAAAATATTGCCATAAATTATTTTGTTTGGTTTTGGGTTTTCCAGCATTTGCTACCAAAATACCACAAAACTCCAAAATCAAAGTCTTATTTTATATGATTATCTTGTCTGGTCCTTCTTGGCAAACTTTCCACCAAAAAGCTGTACATCATTTCTGGACGGTGTTATTCCTTTGGAATGAAATAATTACCTTGTTCAAGCACAGCATATTTAATTGTCAGAAAATGCTTTAGCTCTTCCAGCAGCAGTTTTAAACGAATCCAAAATCTATTTAAAAGCTTTCCTTCTCTGTTTTCTTTATATATCATGAATCTCCTCCATATCATTGTTGTCACCATCATCTTCACAACCTTCGCCAACCGAGCTTTCTCCGTAGACCGAAGCTTCGAGCGCTGCGAGCCTCAAACGTGCGGGCATGGCCCGAACATAAGCTACCCTTTTTGGCTTTCTGGCAACCAAGACTCCTTCTGTGGTTACCCTAGCTTCAAGATCACCTGCAACGGAAGATTTCCGGTACTCAGTATTTCCGGCGATGAGTACATCGTTAAAGAAATCTTTTACTCAAACCATTCGTTTGTGCTGGCCAACGCTGCTTGGGTCTATGATGAGAAATGTCCAATCCCTCTCCACAACTTCAGCCTCGAACGAACGCCTTTCAAGTATAGTTCCAATAACGTCAATTTTTCCTTCTTTTATGGTTGCCCTGAAGAACCTTCGGAATACATGCTTCCATATCCCATTGACTGTGCTAGCAACACCAGCCATCACTCTTTTGCTATTTTTCACATGGAGGTAGTTGAGCGCATGAACTATTCGTTAGACTCGTGCCAGTCTTCAGTTCATTTGCCTTTCGATGATGCTGTTAATGTCGACGCATTGATGCAAATGAACTACACCGAAATCTTGAAGATGGGGTTCATTTTGAATTGGACTGCGCAGAACTGCAGCAATTGCCAGAGGAGTGGCGGGCGCTGTGGATTCGATAACAATGAATTCGTGTGTTTTTGCAGTGATCGACCTCATGTCAAAACCTGTGATGATGGTACTGCTGTAGCAAACTTTTCCCTTTTAGTAATGCTTGAGTTTTTCAGAAAACCTGCGCACAGTAAAGATTTCTTCTGTATAGTATTTGTGTTTGTAGATAGCCTTGCTAGTTCGCGTTAATTATCGTATATAGAGCGGTGAGAATATGCGTGTTTGAGGTTTAAGTTTGTATCATAACTATATTCTAAGAATTCTGCTTGTTTGATTTCTTTTGCAGACAATCCTTGGAACTGGAAGAGGAAGGTTATTGTAGGTAATATATCAGCAAACCCCGTTGTTTCTTCAATCCGTAATGTTCTATCACATTTCTCAATTAGATTATATTCACTAATCAGTATCTAATTATCAACGTTGCAACCTCTTATCAGGTGTTTGCACAGCTGCTGCTACCGTCGCTATAATGTGTATTATTTTCTTTGTATACCAACGCCGAAACAGAAAACCATATGATCCATCGTCCTTCGTAACTCGAAGCATCCTTTCGAGTACCTATTCTATGGACGACGATATGGAGAAGGGAAGTACCTACCTTGGAGTACATATTTTCAGCTATAAGGAACTTGAAGAAGCAACTAATTATTTTGATTCTGCGAAAGAACTTGGCGATGGAGGCTTTGGCACAGTTTATCATGGTAAGATCACAGATTTTCTTAACCGTTTTATGAACCCTTCCAGTTCTTAATTTTATAAATTTCGTATATAGGAAATGTGCACGATGGGAGAGCAGTTGCAGTCAAGCGTCTATATGAAAACAATTGGAAGAGAGTTGAGCAGTTCATGAATGAAATCGAGATTTTAGCTCGCCTGCGCCACCAAAATCTTGTGTTGCTCTATGGTTGCACCTCTCGACACAGCCGTGAACTCCTCCTTGTGTACGAGTACATTCCTAATGGAAATCTTGCTGAACATCTTCACGGAGGAAGAGCAAAACCTGGCGCACTTCCATGGCTTACTCGAATAAACATTGCCATTGAAACCGCAAGCGCACTGTCATATCTTCATGCATCTGACATTATCCACCGTGACGTGAAAACTACGAATATTCTTCTTGACAACAACTTCGGTGTTAAGGTAGCAGATTTTGGACTATCTCGCCCCTTCCCCATGAATGTCACGCACATCTCAACTGCTCCACAAGGGACTCCGGGTTATGTTGATCCCGAGTATAACCAATGCTACCAGCTTACGAGTAAGAGTGATGTCTATAGCTTTGGTGTGGTGCTGATTGAGCTCATATCATCCATGCCGGCTGTTGACATCACGAGGCATCGACACGAGATCAATTTGTCTACCATGGCGATCAACAAGATTAAAAACCATACATTACATGAGCTTGTAGACCCATACTTAGGGTTTGAGTCGGACTCAACAACACAAAAAATGATCATTGCTGTGGCAGAACTAGCATTTCGCTGCCTGCAGACTGACAAGGACGTGAGACCTTCTATGGTTGAGGTGCTTAACGAACTGAAGCAGATACAGAGCTACGATTTAAACATACAAAAAGCAAAGGAGATTGATATTTCGGCCGATGATAATGTGCCGTTAAAGAGTGATCCGCTGCCACCTTCACCAGATTCCGTGGCATTAAGCTGGACTAGCGCGTCTACGTCACCAAAGGGCAGCGGTAAACTTTTTCGTTCTCCGCCATAAGTGGTGGCTGTCATTTTGTATTCATCTACTGAACTTGTGATTTGTTGAATGAGATGTATATATTATGTGAGAGCTGACAAAGATTTATGTATGCTAAGGCAGGTCCTTGTTTTTAGGCTACATGCTTTATCTCTTTTGTTTCAACTAGCTTATCCTTTTAACGAGGTAATTGTTCTATTCGTTATGGGAAAACTTTCATCCTTGTTTTTGAAGGAAGACGGTAGTGATATTCACATACCTATTTTTACTTCTAATCATACACTCTTGTTAATTTTTGTCCATTGATCTTTTTCAATCCATTTTTTGAAGAGGGTAGTGATATTCACATACCCTTTTTTACTTCTGATCATGCACTCTTGTTAATTTTTGTCCATTGATCTTTTTCAATTCATTCGATTCAACGGTTGGAAATTGAGAGTGGGTGTGAGAGGTAAAAATGGGTGTGTAGATAGCACCACCCTTTGAAGAATGTAGAAGTCTCAGACCTGATCAAATCAGATACAACTTATATTGAATGGTTTCATCATTAATTGTATTTAACCTTTTGTGTGTGTGTGTATAATATTTATGTTTGAAAGTGTTTTTAAAATGATTGAAAACGCTTTTGTCAAAAACACTTTTGTCAAAAACACTTTTAGGTTCTAAAAGCACTTGAAGTGCGCATTTTGGAAACTGTGTTTATAGTAGGAAGTACTTCAAGTGTTTTTTAAGGATTCACTTGTATTTTTACCAAACACAGATGGCTATTCAGTGTGATTCCTTTGTTTTTGTTTCCTTTATTTTTGTCTGGGTAGAAAAGGTGAAGATCAAGAAAGAAAGCCAACAAAATGTGCAGAGACACTTCTTATTTGTTGATGACTGCAATGGGCTCCATCTGCACAATCTAATGACACACATACCCTTTCATGATATTATTAATTTTTTGATAATACATTCATAGGTATTTACTATTTACATATAGAGAGCATAGTGATGTTGTAGGATTCATACAACCGACCTTACTTAGTGGAATAAGACTTTGTTATTGTACTATTTACATGTACATCAATCTAAAGTAAATGCAGATAAACTTGTCAGCCCATCATGAACTCCCATTTGATAGCTAATCAAAGGCCTTGAGATGTTAGATCACCATCTGATGACGAGTCGGATATGCTACACTTGATATTTTCCACCAGTGGACTGAGCAGATATGGAGATGAATTTATCTGCCAAATATTGTCACTGGTACTATTGGTAGCTGCAGTGCACTCAAAGTTGATGCTGCTTGTGCTTGGTAGGTAACCGACATTGATAGATTTATGATGATGATCAGCTGCGCCTAAATGTCCATTTTGTTGATCGAATGCTCTCATGACCATTGCCTGATGATGGTGATGAGGATATTGCTCCTCTATATGATTACCTGTTAATGTAAACACGTCCAAGTTCAAAACACATATATAATGCTAACAAACTGGAGTACGGTAGCAGCAAAAGGAATTTCCGAAGACCATATGAATCAAATTAATGTCATAATAATTGGAATCGTTTATTTTTTTTTTTTAAAGATTATCTTTATAAAAAATTCATTTAATTTGAAGATCATTTAGTCATCCATATGCATTAAAGAAATTGACACGAGGATGACTACTTGTTACTATAACCGCCGATTTGTTCGATACATACAGATGGTCAAATCACCTCCAAATAAAATCAATTTCTTTTAGAAATGATCTTTAGATGATGATGATAATGATAGAGGGAATAGACAGTTCCAATTATAATGTTTGTCTGAAGAAATGATGTCTTGTTAAAAGGGAACGGTAAGAGGGAATGCGGACTTCCTCATTAGGAATGAGGGATTCTTAAGATTATAGTATACCTTGTGTCAATAAAGCGGTCTCATTCAACGGTGCATCAACAACTTCCAAGGAATTCCAGTTTGCATAGGCTTGCCTCACTAGATTCTCAATGTAGGTCTGCAAATTCCAAGAGAAAATTGAAGAACAATAGTTAGGCTTAAGGTTAAGGAGGAGTTCCTCCACAAATACTTCGTGACCTATTCAAAAAATTTTGTGCTTGTGATTGGAATCATTTATATTATAAATCACTATGTAAAGATCATCTCTACAAAAAAATCAATTGCAACTAAGATATTGTAGTCAATCAATTGTAGCAAATAGATAGATGGTTTGTCATACTTTTACCAAATCCGTCCATTTGTTTTTATACAGTTTGATAACTAAATTATCTTAGTAAATGATTTTTTGTAGAGATAATCTTTATATAGTGATTTGTAATATGAACAACTCAGATAAACACGATGTTCTGTAAATATGCCACGAGGTATTTTAGGAGGAGTTCCTCAAAAGATAGCTCTTTCTCTATTTTAAAAAAAATGACAATAGCAAGTGATTGATTATATGAATTAACTCATACCCTATTGATATTGTTGAGATTTTGAGTGGGGAAATTTTGGCCATCAACCACAGCCCTCAACACTTGACAGATAGGATTTAAGGAAATTGAGAAATGAGGACCGCGAAATATGAATATTTTGTTACTCATCACACAGGTTCTGGCGTGCTTTATTGTCACTTCCCACATTTTTTCAGACATTCCGACCCCTAAAATCTGGTTTAAAAACAGCATTTTGAAAGGAAAAAAAAAAAGAAAAGAATTGATATTAATTAGCCAGTTAGTTAGCATAAGCATGAAGAATATAAATTACCTGTATGTATGAAGATATTTTATATGTACCTTTCTTAGCTTTGACCGGTCAACGACAAACAACTTCAAGAAGTCTTGTACCGTGTGAATGTTCTCTGAGACTAGCTTCTTGTGAAAAGCTCCATCCTTCCCAATCTTCTCCAGGCGCCAAACTTCATCTTCCAACATTGGTGGATGATGCTTTTTGTACACTTCACAGAAAAATTCGAACTTAGTTATTTTCTATGACATGAGTGAATTGATAACACTATATAACAGTGTGACAGTCACATCAAAAACTTCTTTGTATAATGTACAAAATTGATTCATCAACTTCTAGTTTTCTTCTCTTTAAGCCATAACATGCGGAAAACTTTTGTTCCATTTTGCATTTCAAGAATTACAAACATTAGTAAAAAGACAAAATCAAGTATCAAAGTAACTCTCTTTCGTTTAATATACTTGAACATTGACTTGACTTGAACATATATTTGATTTAATTGGAGCCATAGGCAGATCATGAAAATAATTCTTCTAAAACTAATAAATACGCAAACCCAGGGATGTTTGTTGACTCAAACAATTCACTTGTTTTGTTTTGACGTGATGCATGAAAGGGAAATGTTGTATTAGATTATGCAAATGGCAATTTATATATTGCCAAGGTGTTATCACTGAGTGTGAACATGATCTTCCCTCATAATTCCACGAGACAAAGCAAATATGAAAGCATGTGACAAATGAATGTTAATGGTTTGTGCTTGTTATGGTTGACTCCATTTAAAGATGAGTATCTCTATACCAGAAATAATATGCCCTAAAATCGATGATCTTTTATTTTTACAACACTCATCAACTAATTAGGTCACACAATGAATGCGGTGGCACAACGGATTTTCTCCTCTAAAAGACTTAACTGACAAATACATTCATGTACTTAAAAGGATAGAAAGTTAGAAACTATATATATATGAATTTGTTTTACAAAAAGATTAACGGTTCACAATAACGATAATAGTTAGTAAGTAGTAGAAATGATGGTCATGATCATGAAAAAACGTAGAAAAAGTTTATGAGATAAAGAAAGTATAAAGATCATGCATAAAATACTTACATTCTCCGCGATGATCTTTAACAACGAAAGCATCGGTCATGGCCTCACGGATCCTTGCACCTTGATAGCCTGTGCCTGGAGTCACTCTTGCTCCAAGCCTAAACTTTCTGCTCCTAATCCAGCTCGAATTATCCGTAAACTCGATCTCCCCAACAGTCGCAAACCCGTCTCTAGCCGTAACATTTACATCCCCGGTAAGCAATGGCCTCTTGCCAGTTCTCTCCCTCAAGACGTTGTTATCAAATTCTTCGCTCGTCCAATTGTCGCTGTCTCCCTTCGGGAAGTCCCCGTCGAGAACAACAATTTCGACTTTGATTGGATTCGGATGATTGATTGGCACCATTTGATTAGCTCCACTACTTTTATCCACGACCAAGATTTGAATTGGGTTGTTGTCTTCATCGGATATCTTGCTTGCAGTGAAGATTGGGAGTGAAAGGCTCTTAGCAAAGACAAGTTGTAAGCTGGATTGTTCTAGGGTTTGGATTCTCAGCGATGGTTGCCTTGCCAATGAGTGCAGTGAGCACCGTCTTAGAACGTGTTCAACCTCTTCACTCACCTGAAAACAAATCCAAATCAAATTAGAGATGGCTTTAATTTAGAAAATATCAATATAACTTGGATCGTTTCGATTAAAGGGTACTAGTACATAAACTAGCCCTTAAAAAAAGTTAAAATCTCGCTACATATATTATATATATGATTTTGCAAGATTTTCAAGAGAAAATATAGCTAGGGTTTACGTACCACTCTTCTAAGCAGAGGCTCGAGGGATGAGAAAAGGTTTTGCATCGAGTTCACCAAAACCACTTCTCCGATCACACTGTCAAGAATCAAGAACAATTCAAACATTTTAAGATCAGAAAACGTTTTCTTCGATTTCTAGATTCGTAAAAAAGAAAACAAAGAAAAAAATTACTAAAAAAATCATGCAGTTCATGGGAAATCAAAGATAAAGATTAGTGCATAATTAGTTGTTAACTAAGATTAGTAGACGTACGAAGCAAAAGAAGGTCTAGGTCTTTTCCGGTTGTCATCTGGCTGATCTTGGTCGGATTCTGCATCATTAGAAAACCTTTTGGCGGCCATTTTCTCAAAATATACAACTCCAAAGAATCACACAGGAGAGAGATACTAGAGAGAGAGAGAGAGAGAGAGAGAGAGAGAGTGATGAAGGAGATCGGTGAATATAAAGGGTTTAGGGATTGCCACATGCAGCCATGGCTAGATTTATATAAATATATACATAAAGAATGAGGAAAAACTGATGGGTTGGTATACTAATATAAAAAGTGAAGTTTCTGGGAACGGCAAGGGAACCAGCTAGGCAGGAGAGAAATGAGGTGACCTAGGTTTAGCCACACATTACGCTCGACTTTTTGACGTCAACTTCTATAATTTTGTCTATAATTTGCTTCATATTAAACCCTACCGCTGCTGCTGCGTTGCTGTATGTCTTTATTTGGTCTTGGTCTTGTTCATCTGGTCCTACCCATCACAAAGTCAAAAGTCTAACGGTTGAGATGCATACACCGTCGTGGAAGGGGTTCAACATCAAACCATATCAACTATCAGATCTATGTGTTAGAAAATCTCTAAGATTAAAATCTTAATTAAGTAATCAGATAATTATTCAATTACAAACCTTAAAAACTTCTATCCTCATAAAAATGACTAACAATGTATATCAAGTTAAATTAGAAAAAAATTGGTAATAAATCTATTTATGATTACTATTTCTATCATATTCTATTTCTTTATATATTTAAGGAGATTATATTCACACACCCTAAATTACTTTTTCCACACCCTTTTAATTTTTTAATATTTTTTATCAAGTGTTAATGTTGTGTAGAAAATATTAAAAAAATTAAAAGAGTATGAGATAAGTAATTTGGAATGTGTGAATATAATCACTCTGTATCTATAATAGAAGTGATCTCAAACGGTTAATCAATCGAGTAATATGATTAATGCATTGAATATCTATTGTAAGACACAAAATTTATGCGATAATATACATGTCTATATCACAAATTTAAAATTAATTTATATGTGGAAATATTGGGGGGCCAGATGGCCGTGTACTGTAAGTACATCGATGTTACTATTAGTCAATAACTACATTTCTCAGAAGGATCTAATTCATTTTTCATGTAGGGCCTCTAAATTGTGTGACGTTTTGATTAATTAACTACTATGCTATAAACTTATAACAACAAATGCTCCATAGTAAGACAAAAGGTGAAATAGTACAAGAAAGGAAAGAGACACGTATTGCTCCTTTTGCCAGGAAGCTTTGAGATCTTTTGGATGTTGAAACTTGAAAGTAAGTTAATTTATATGTTGAGCCTAACAGTTTATGTGTTCTCACGTCACTTATTATGTATTGTTTACATATTAAACTTAAATGATCTCACACGAATTTCAAATTCTGATTTGCCTGCCGTGGAAAATGAATTCTTATGCATACAAGCCAAGAATATTTCGAGGAAAGTTTGCTGAAAGAACCAAGGTAATTCCTTACTTTAAGGACTGCGTTTGACTGAATATGCAATATTTTTCCTTCTGTACGATTCAAAATTACGTAGAACCCCCATCTACATATTTTGGGTTTCTTCTACTTATTTATGAAATGGCCTAGCTTAAGCAACCCAACCTCTATTCACATACAGACTTGGGCCTGGCAGGGTGTCAAAGTTTTGAACAAAATCCGGGTCTAGCCACAGCCCACGGAGGGCTTGGTAAATAACAAATATATCATCAACCCACCGGATCTCAAGTTCAAACATTCTCACGCTAAACTAACATAATACCATCACTTGTATTTGGAATAAATAAATATGTCCTCACATGCAAACGGACTGGTTGATAATTTGCCCTAACTCTACAGACATTTTTGGGGTTCATTCGTGAATAATGATAAGTGAGATATTTTGGGTTCGATTTTCGTTTTTGAACCACATTATTGCTAACCCATTGTGAGGCTTAGCTCACTCCCCTATCCCCCTCAGTGTAGATAATATTGTTTGTTAAAAAAAAAAAAAATTATTTCTACCCTACTCGATTACAAAAGGTAAGGGCATTATTGACTTTTTAATCTATCATTTGCACTTTCAGTTACACAATTTTACAGAATCAATTAACCCCATATCATTGTGTTATTGTCCTTAAACGTTATGTTCTAAAGAGTGTACACAAGTCTTTTTCTGTTTGAGATGTGGTGTTCTGCTCAACGATACACAAGAAGGAAAAAGAGGATGTCACAAATATCACTGTCACATCCTGGTCTGAGCCCTCACCACATTCCGAGCTCGACTCCACAGTAGCACGATATTGTCTGCTTTGGGCCCTGATCACGCCCTCACGGTTTTGTTTTTGGGAACTCACACGAGAACTTCCCAGTAGGTCATCCATCCTGAGATTGCTCTCGCACGAACTTGCTTAACTTCGAAGTTCCAATGAACTCCGAAGCCAGTGAGCTCCCAAAAAACCTCGTGCTAGGTAGAGATGGGAAATACATATAAGGCTTACATAATCTACTCCCCTGGGCGATGTGGGATGTTACAATCCACCCCCCTTAGGAGCCGACGTCCTCGTTGGCACACATCCGACCAAGGATTGACTCTGATACCAAATTGTCACATCCTGGCGCGGGCCCCCACCACATCCCTAGCTCGACTCCACCGTAGCACGATATTGTCCGCTTTGGGCCCCGACCACGCCCTCACGATTTTGTTTCTGGGAACTCACACGAGAACTTCCCAGTGGGTCACCCATCATGGGATTGTTCTCGCGCGAACTCGCTTAATTTTGGAGTTCCGATGAACTCTGAAGCCAATGAGCTCCCAAAAGACCTCGTACTAGGTAGAGATGAGAATATACATATAAGGCTTACAAGATCCACTCCCCTAATCGATGTGGGATGTTACAATCACGTTATATCACAATCATTTTGAAAAATTAACCTTATACACCTCAAATTACCCCAACAAGTAAAGAAAACAATTTCTAGAGCTTGGCCTTTATTTATTTATTTATTTATTTGATTTGCTACCCACAAAAGCTACTGAGAAAAACAACCATAAGCCTTTTTAGTTTACGGAGAAATGAATGATGAGAAAAGAAAAGAAAACCTCTAAGCCCTAAAAATCAATTGAATCTCATGATCTTTGGAGCAAACCTCAACAGCCTATCTAAAGAGTGTGGCAAGAACTTCCTTGCAAACAAATAGCAAATATTGGTTGGCTTCCCGTTGTACTCACAGTTGCTTCCATGTCTCAGCTTCTTCAAGAAGTCGATCGTTACATCAGTTCTCATAAACTTAGACGGATGGGGCCCACCCCTCGACCAGTCAACCCACGTCAACGTCCTGTTAGAATTCTTCTTCCAAAACTTGATGCTTACATACGTGGGCAAGTAGTGCTCATCGGAGTAGCATGGGGGTTTGCAATACCTTGTGAATAACGGGAAGTACTTATCATCCGAAACCATTGCGGTCGCGATCTCACGGTCCACTTCGAACCACTGTGAGCCTTTTCGCCACTGATCAAGTATGATATGAGGCCTCATTTTGTGCCTGTACCGGTCTCGGCCGACAGGGCCGGGAAGGTCGTAGGCCTCCACGAATGTTTGGTTTGAGTCCTTGAGATAATTGTAGACTATGTTGAAGTTAAAGAGTGGTATGCATGACTCTGAGAGGAGCACAAAACGTTGGTTGGAGAAGTCAAGCAAAGCATTGGCTAATAGGCGACGCTCTGCTTGCACCATGTTAGGTTGACCCCATGTCACATTCTGCACATTGAACTTCAGTTAGTAGTTAATCATTACACAGGAGAAAATGTTTTGTCATACAATCCGTAAAGTTATATAAGTCATTGATTCAAAAGTTAACAATCTAATAACTTAACATGTTTATCAACTGTTGACAATTTGATAACTTAACATGTCGGTAACTTAACATGTCCGACATCTACTGTTGATAGTCTGATAAGCTAGTATGTCTCATCCATCCAGGAAGAAAATATGACACATGTTATGCTTGTTAATTAAGAGGGACTAGTTAGCCTAGCTAGGTTGGCTTTCTCTAGAATATGATGTGTTACACTTTGCTATATACTTACTTTTTGTTACTTCCTAAGTACATAAAAGAAACTAAGAAAGAAACTAAAGGCCACTTTTGCTTACTTTTCTGAATTTGATACATTGCATATGCATGCATTACAAAGAGACAACATTACGAAAGGAATTTAGAAAGGTCTTGAAATGAATAGAATTCTGTTGCAGATAGTTACAAAAGGAGTAGAATCCAAGCAATGCACGGTGCAACAAAATAGAGTCCACCACTCAATCCATATGCCAAATTTATTAATATTTCTGAAATGTGAAATATATATATATCTACAGGCTTTATGAAAACATCTGGTGTGTGTCATTTGGTTATCTAGAAAGTGTTCATGTATAAGCATTATTTTAACCAAAAATTAAATCACCCCCACCAAATAATTTCCCAAAACTGATTTGTTATTTGTTCATCATGTCTTCACGACTTCTTCCGCAGTTGAAAATGATTAATTTGTCAAAAAATATCGTCGGGAAAAACTCATATAGACAGGTTTTACCCATGTTCTCCTGTCCAATCATTTCTTGACACTATATCAGTAATTCCAATTATTATAAGGATTAAAAGATGAAGATCTGCTTAGATTCTATAGTGTGTGTGTGTGTGTGTATCTTTTAAAGTGAATTAAGTTTAATGTATTCTGAAACTTAGATGTTATATATATATCGTTCCTTAAACATGATGCATTGAAAAGAATGTCAACTATCAATATTAATATTTTCAGTTCCTTTAAAAATATAAATAACTTCTGAAGAAAAGCCTACGTAATTAAGGGAAGGTAGATTTTTTATACTATCGTATCGTCTTTACCCAAAAAAAGGGAAGGTAGATTTTCATGGGAGCAGATCCTCTACGGAGTTCAAGGATCAAATAATTTGGACCTTTAAATTTGATTATGCGGTAAAAAATTATGATAGTTTTCAAAAGGTAGTAAAAAATTTAGCCATACGATCAAATTTTAAAGGCCAGAATTACATGACTCTAAGCTCCGAAGATGTAAGTCCTGAGAGGATCTGCTTCCGATTTTTATTGATAAACCTTTCATAATGCAGAATCACACATATACATACTTAAATAAACAAATGATGATTTGTACTTCCAAAGCCTTGTTATGCAAAATGAATATTTAAGTAATGCAACAACACTACAGACCAATAATATATAAAACATGGGCATGAAGTTCTCCACTGTATGAGGCATGTTATGAGGCAAGGTTGATGGCTTTTCCATATACAAACAATGGCCTCAACTCTCAAGAAAAATCAATTTGATTTTACTAGTTCTCCAAAAGGTGGTGTCTAGAAAATGGCTATCTAATTAATATGAAAAGAAGTAATTAAGTGCGTAGTATAAAATCTAAATATAAAAATTTTAAAAATTAAAATAATTGTAAAGCTTTAATGTAAAAAAAAAAAAAAAAAAAAAAAAAAAAAACACCTTTCTGGTGCAAATTTGAATGCGGAGAAAAGTTGAATATCAAAATTAAAGCAATAAGGTGTAGTACTATAGTTTAATAATTTTTTATTCTTTACTTGTAAACAAGAGATCTCAAATTTAATATTTAACTATGGATAATCCATTATGTGAATTAACTCAAACAATTTTAGACTGGGTAGAATATCGTTGTAACAAAAAGGAGAACACATCGCGTATGCAAAAAATTTAATGAAGCTAGCTGCTAGCATAAAGCATTCGACTCCATACCATCAGCTAACCAGACATAACTCACAGAAAGGTTGGCTTGGTAAGCAATAATTCAATCATTCTCTTCCATATCATTTAGTTTACAAAATTTAGTCTTCCTAACATTACCCTTCTAAATATAGCGTGGCGTAATTCAATTTGCTATATATGCATACACGCAAAGTCATCATTGCTTTGAACTACTACAAGTTAATCATATATATTCCCAATTTTTTCTGTAAATTAGATAAAAACACTAGTAACACAAATGCTTGACGAAAATTAATCAAGAAAAATTAGGATTGTAACATGATAAACTGACCTTACTCGGAACCCTCCTGCCATAAAAAACCGAGTTTTCAGGCATGGTGTCATTGAAATCCGGATTGGCATGGACATAAATGGAGTACAACCCTTCATGTCCTTTGAAGAACATTTCCCAGAGAGGAGCCATTGCCAGGCTCCCTCTCGTCAGAAACATGAATGCAACTTTCGGAGTCCGTTTAAATGGCAAACCTTGCCGTAGCGGCACCAGAGAAGCTCTCCACAACAGCTCATCGTCGTCCATTTCATGCAAAATATTCGGCGACTTAGTGTATTCTTTCAACCCTATTGGTGGTACCGGGCTGGCGGCAGAGGTTTTGGCTCTTGTTTGATTTGTTGGGATATTGAGAGATTGTGGTGGTGGTGGAGAAGAAGATGTTCGATTATTTGTTGGAATATTGAGAGATTGTGGAGGTGGTGGAGAGGAAAATGTTAGATTATTTGTTGACAAATGAGAGTATTTGTTTTGTGTTGAATAAAGTTGGAAGGGGAAATCTTTGAGGTAGATGCTGAGGGAAGCGCCGAGTGCTAAACCGAAAGCAAAGATTAGAAAACTTGAGACGATTTTATGGAGGTGGATTTGAGCATTGAGGAAGTGCTTTGGAAATGAAGGTGGTGGTTGGTGTTGCTGATGCTTATTCATCATTTTTTTGGGAGAGGGTTTTGAAAAATGAGAAGTGTTCTGATTGATTGGTTTTTGAAATGGAATGAATGAAATTTGCAAGCTTCAAAGAACTATTGGGGCTGCTCTCTCTCTCCCCCCTCTCTTTAAAAGATTCTTAAATTGATCTCGTCACACTAGTTTTTTAATTTTTTTTTTTTTTTCATTTGTTAACATGAAAGGTCAGGGTCATGGAGCCTTAAATTAACTCAAAAGGGAACTACAATTAAGATTGACAAGGACCGTCATCATTAATCAAGGATAAATCTTAATTCATAAAAAATATATAAAAAATGCATTTTGGTGTTCTGGATACATCGAATTTCTCGAAGGATTTAGTACACATAAAAGACTTGCTAAAAAAACGAGGAACAACAAAACATGGGTTGGGTTTTTTCTTTAAAAAACCCATGAGTTGGGATAAAAATGTTAATGAAGTTGTATAGTCGGTGGGGAGGACAATGTATGTAAAAGAAGGGGGTTGTAAGAAATATGGATTCCTTGAGTTATGTAAGAAATTAAGTCTTAAGTGGGATATAATCTGATTAAAAATGGAAGTATTTTAAAGTTTTATACAGCTTTGAAGTTTGAAGTTTTGTTGAAATTTGACCATATGAACTTTAACGAAAAACTCTTGTTACTGTTCACTTTAATGAAAAACCACATTTTTACACTAAAAAGTCAATCTTGATACTATTCACTTTACCATTTATTTTGTCTTTATCGTTAAAACTCAAAGTTTTCAAATATTTTTCATTAGTTTTCCTTATATTATAATCCATGATAGGGAAGAACTGGCTTCCAAATATATCCCTCAATTAAAAACTTTGTTTCTTTTGCCATTAAAAGAAAGGAAAACTAATTAAAAGGGCTTGAAAACTTTGAGTTTTAACGATAATGACAAAATAAATGGTAAAGTAAACAGTACCGAAAACTTTTCGTTAAAATTCCTTGAAAGAAATGAATGATAAAAAAGTAAGAATGACACTTGCCCTCCCCAGTTCTATATTTAAATTATAATAAATAAAAGATAGAAATTGATGAAGCCAAATAAAATATAGGGTCCAAGAACAATTCACCATGTAACATCTTAGAAAAACAGAAAACAAATCATCAACATGAATTTTGTTAATGACTTATTAGTCTCTAAAACGCTTGCAGTTTCCTTTCTCTTTTTAGATCTAAACTCTCGTACGCAAGTTAACGCTACATGTATAGCATAATGTGTTGCTATAATTAATACTAATTTCTTGTAAATCATGTGAGAAGACATAACTGCATAATAAAAACAATCAACGAGAGCTCTAAACTCTAAATCTAAACATGAAGTGTTTCTCCTGTCCAAAAATAATCACCTCCATTCATCTAAATTGCACCAAGTATTATTAGCTTTAAACATTTTAGGTTGAAGTATATATTATTATGGTGGAATTCATTGAACCAATCGATTATTTCCACACTCTAAATAGGTTGTAAACTTGTAATAACATTTTTATATAAGAGTAGGCTAGCTTTTGAAGTAACATGAGAGTTTGTTTATTTTTATGCCACGTGGGTGTTGTACGGTAATTGTCACTCTAATTAATGGGGTATATTACTTATTTTAGGCAAATTAATTATATTAAAAAATTTCCCAGGTCATGCCTTCCTGAGCTGCCACAGTTGAACATTGCTGGCTGCCCTACATGAATGCCAAAATTCACCAGGCATAACTTGCAGCCACCACATTCCTTTAAAAAATTTAATATTAATTATTACGTAATATGATAGATACGTGTTAATTTATTACATTTGTGATATATAAATAAAGTAATGTTATCTGGATATTCAATACGGGACGTTTGGTGATATACACTCCAATACAAAAGAATTTTATATACAAACGTATAATTATGAAACGAAAGAAAAATGAAATTTTATAATAACCCATTGAACTTCTTTTCACAACCAATTTAAAAGATTTTTTTTTTAATTCCTATATTACCCTTGAATAAAATTGAAGAAATATAAAATAAAGAAATTTCTTTCCACACCCAATAGGGGATTCTTATCCTCGTCACAAACCCCATGGCAACTTCAAATTAAACGACACCACCTTTTGCGTCGCACCGCCTTCCATGGTAGGTACAATTGCCTTCCACATGCTTTGACTTCGAACAACGTTCATAGAACATGAAGGCTCCCTCTTATCTCAACGCCTTCTTTTCGACGCCTCCGCCACCCCTTCTCCGTCAGACTGGCGGTCGTGGTTCCTCGTGTCGTCGGTTTTGTACGACGGGGAAATTTTATAAGCCTCATATCTGCATTCCATTCCACCAAATGCCAATTCATGACCAAATGGCAATTCATGAAGTAGAAGGGCTATTTCATTACCGAGAAAATTAAGATTTCACAATCAATTGACAATATGAAAAATAGTTCAACTTATAGTTCATGCAAGGTCCTTCTTCCCATCAATGTGGAACTCATTCTCAATCGTCCCTCCTCTCATCAATGCGGGACTCATTCTCAACACGCCCACTTACATGTGGTAAATTTTCAAGCCTACCACGTGGACAACACAACAGAGTGACGTGCATCACGTGTGGCAATTTGGCTTCACAAACGGGACAACCTGCTATGATATTATGAAGAAAGTTAAGGTTCCATCATAAAACCAATTGACAATACGAGGAGTAGCCCCACTTACTTATAAGCCCATACAAAGTTCCTCCTTTCATCAATGTGAGACTCATTATCAACCTATGAAGTAAAAAGGCTTGAACCTTTTTTAATCATTTGGATTCCATTCCACCAAATTCGTTTATTCAACATTACAACTAATTGCAATTGCCTGAAGGAGGGTTGACAATTTCTCTTTGGAAACGTCTAATAAAAAAACAAAAAGAAACAACGTAAAACGGAAGAGGAGGAGACGGAGAGGAGCTGCCCGCACAAAAGATTCACCGACATCGTGAAGAAGCCACCGGAAAGTGGTGGGCGCCGTAGATGTGTTAGGGCTTGATGTGGGTTGATTTTGTTTTAATTTATTTTTCACATTTATTTATAAGGATATAGACCAAAACGTAGCCCGTTTTGACACAAAATTCGTCTCCAACTGAGGGTTAGGCTAAAAGGCTTGCGCGACCCATTGGGCCATAAATCAGCCACAAGGCTTGCGGGCTGGCCAAAGAAAGCCATCCTAATTTAATCCAATCCAATGGTAACATGACGTCATCCTGACACTAGCTGACATCATTTTGACGCCATCTGACATCATGTAGCCAATGGAATTTAAATTTTTTGTTTAGACGAATTAAAAAAATTAAAAAAAAATTCTAATTTTTTTTTTCCTATAAATACCTAAGCCATTTCTCACATTCTTTTCACCATTGGAAAATATGAAGGTGTGTGAATTCTACCCCAATATCTAGCCAATTATTAACATTGGAAGTTGAAGATAAGAAGTGTCACGTAGATAAGAATCCTATCTAAAATTTGCATAACCAATTACATCTCGACACATGGCACTCGAAATCCTATCCGAAAAATTATTAAAGATTACATAAACATAAAAAATATGGAGAGTTACTCACCTTAGCAACATGTGTCACTCGAAATCCTATCTGAAAAAATATTGAGATTATATAAAGATAAGAAATCCGAAGGCTTGTTCATTTAGCGACAAGTGGCACTCAAAATATGTCTGAAAAACCTTATTTTAATATGGTAGTTTAATTCAATTAACCAATAAATTAAAAAACAAACCTAAAATAATAAATTATTGACAGGGCTAAACAATAGCCCCCTTTGGTTGGAGATGGGTTTTGTGTCAAAACATGTTATGTTTGGCCTAAGACCCTTTGGCCCACTCGGTTGGAGATGGTATATAAATATAGCATGACACTGTTCATTAAAAAACAATTTCTTTCAGGGCTATAATTTGGACGGGGGCCCTTTCGATTGGAGATGACCTAAAGGAAATTGTCCAAAACTTAAATCAAGAACATAAGGGATGTTTCAGCCAATATGTGAGCCGATGTCTAAGAATCTATTCTTTCATTGGAGCAGTTGGTTCCTAAAAGTCAAAAACCTCCATTTTCGTAGTTTTGGGTTCCACCACTTGAGCAAAGTTTGATTCGAACTTATGATGACGAGAATGATACTCAACTACAACCTTGGCGAGAGCTTGGCAAATGCGGGACCAATGGTCCTTGCCTCCACAACAATAACACAATTTGCATCCATGGGGTTGGTGGGGTTGGTTCTCTTACCTTTATTCTTTAAGTTCGCAGCCTAGTGAGCGAGGTGACAACGTTTTTGGGCTCTTTTCCTCCCTTAGATGGGCCTTCATTGTTAACCTTGGGCATTCGGCTTATGGCCAAGCCTACCACGCTTAGAGCAATGGCTCGGGCGTTGTTTCTTTCTATTGTATGCTTCAGGCACAGCGATCGAGCCAGTAGGTCTAGCCTGGTGATTTTTCATCAACAGTTGGTTTAGCTTTTCAGCAAGAAGTAAAACAGAGATCAAATCCAAAAACGTAGTGAAGTTCTGTGCCCGATATTATTGCTGCAAGACAATATTGGTAGCATGGAAGATTGAACAAGTCTTCTCCAAGAGATCCTATTCAGTTAAGTCTACTTTACAGAACTTAAGAGTGATTAGATTCAACTAACTTCAAAATTGCATTGATTCACATAGTTAAAGTCTTGGAAGTGTAAGTGTTGCTAGTCGTGTATTGCTTCATACAATAATATATCTCTTCGGTGATCAAAGAAATCCTCCAAATCGATCCATGAAGCTCGTGAATCCTCCTCTGCAAGGTACTCGATTTGCAGTACGTCATCATATGCTTTTGTATGAAGGTCATGGATGTGGCTTTGTTAGCTTCGCAAACCAGAACATTCTCCTCAGCTTCTATGGTAGCTCCAAGGCTCTTAATAGTAAGATGGAGCTTCTATGGTAGCTCCAAGGCTCTTAATAGTAAGATGGAGCTTCACATCTTGGACCTACTTTAGGTAGTTTCTTTCGGAGACTTCCAAAGCAGTAAAGCCAAGTTTGTTCAAATTCGACTTGTTACTGTCACAAAAAAAAAAAAAAGGACAAAAGTGTGGTTAATCCAATGAAGACAAAATTTAGCAATCCATACATAAGGAGTAGAACATTTCAGTATTATTAGACATGTATTGGTTTAAATTATCATGAAAAACTGTTAGTTTTCTTAGATGTATTGATGATATACTTTTGAATACATATGAATTTCACATACAAAGGTATAATTATGAAATGGAACCTAGGAACCTAGCAACATGGGTGCAATTTGCAAGAGAGGCCGCAGAGTGTCTCCCATGAACTTCCTAGCGAACAAAAAACACATAGAACAAGTAATAGTACTATTTGCATTACTAATACCACTACAACTGCAATTAGAACCAAATCTTATCTGATTCAAAATTACTTCTGAAACATCATTCCTCCCAAATCTTCCAGGGTGAGGACCACTTTTGGACCAATCGACCCAAGTAACGCTCCGATTCGAGTTTTCTTCCGGGCCAATGATGTTCACTAGGGTTGGGATGTAATGCTCATCCATGTAACAAGGAGGGCTGCAATGCTCTTTGAATATGGGGTAGTACTTGTTGTCTGATATGATCTCAACTGCCAGCTTCCGGCTGACCTCAAACCACTGGGAGCCTTTGCGCCAATCCGATCTGTTGATTTCAGGCCACATTCTCGGATTGTATCTGCCCCGACCCACCTTCCTCGGGTCATCATATGATCCTATATTGCTCTCACTGGCATTCATGAGGTAGCTGTATATTGTGGTGAAGTTGAACAATGGGATGCAAGACTCGGATAGTAGCACAAATCTCTCGTTAGTAAAGTCAAGGAGGGCACTTGCTAGTAGGCGTCTCTCACCATCGATCATTGTAGGACTTCCCCATTCAACCGCCTACATTAGAGAGGTGATCAACTATGTAATCAATAAATATGGTACAAATAACAACTGTCTTAATTTATATACCCATGAAAAATTAGTTGATTCGAATTGACCATTTTTATCCACAAAAAAGTTCAAAACTAACCCACCTTGCTTGGAATTCTCCTTCCATAGAAAACAGAATTTTGAGGCCATGAATCAACATATGAAGGATGAGGGTGGACATATATGTTGTAAAGTCCTTCATGGCCATTGAAGAACATTTCCCACAATGGGGCCAAAGGTATGGGCCCCTTTGTCAAAAACATGAAGGCAATTCTAGGCGCACGGTTATATGGAAACTTTCCAATCCTTGGAACAAAAGATGCTCTCCAGAACAACTCACCATCATCAACCATCTTGTGCACCAAAAGTGCCTCAGTATCCGATGCAACGTTATCAGTACCTGATTCCTGTAAAGGGAGAAGCGGCGGTGAGGGTGGTTGTGGCAGAAACTCTGTTATTGAGGCAGGCGGCAATAGCAGTGACGAGGAGGAAGTGGTTTGTAAGGTGAATGGGAAGAAGGTCTTGTAGTATGAACTGACCATGACTCCAATGGACAAACCAATGACAAAAAACACTAGATGAAAGGCATGGCTAAACTGCAAATACGAAACCAAAAGCTTCGAAATTGGCTGAGATTTTCGGAGTTCGCTTCCCATTTCCGGGAGCAGGAGAGGAGAGTTTAGCAGATCGAAGAAGAACTTAGCTAGCTATCTACTTCAAGTTAACCAGATTGATGCCTACATTAATAAACCTAGGAGGCTAGGACACTAAAAGGGGAATTAGTTTTCTTTTTCTTGGGAAAAAGAAGATTAGGTAGAGTGAAAGTTAAGATGCATGCATGTGTTTTGGTATTGCTACGACCTAGGGTTTCGAAAGTCCTCTTGAAAATCGACACCGCATATATTAGGACTTGGTCATCACCTTTGATCTTTCAAAGAGTTGACATTTCATGGCCAGTGGTCTTCCACCTGTTCGAGCATTCCTAGGTCTAAATTGCAATCCTAAGTTTGAAGATTTTTTTGGTATGTTCTCAAGTATTTTACCGTTAATTCTTTAAAACGTCAGATTTAACAATTTCTTGCATGACTTGTTATTCTGACACGAAATAATACGAAAATAACAAGTTTCTGGTCAACCTGTTATCGAATCACCTGTTAAGAATCCTATAAGATAACGGGTATGACACGAACGAGACATGTTAATGGCAATTTCTTGCATAACCCGTTAACCCCACACGAAACAACACAATCTATTAACAAATCGGATAATTATCGGATCACCTGTTAATAAGCCGTTAAGATAATGAGTTTGACACGACATGACCCGTTACGGTTATAACATGAAAACAACACAAACACGACAAACACAACCCATTTGTCAGGTCTACCAAACATAATAGAATTTGACTTTCATTCCAAGTTGTTTTAATTAAAGTTTAACTTGGACGTTACGGTGCAAATGTCACCAAGTTGGTATGAGCAAGCAAGCTCCTAGATTTGGGGCAACAATGATTGAAGAAGGAATACATTAAAGCTGTTTCCCCTGCTCTTCTGGGACAGAAAAAGTCCATCTTACGCATAGGAAAGAGGTTCATGCATACGAAGACGAAACGAAACTGCCTTTCAGAGAAGACGAAAAGGCAAGTTCAGGAGAAACCGAACCCGATTCGCTAAGAAGCAAGACTAATATCCGTTACAGTTTCAGTTTTAAGTTGAAGTATCTAATTCAACAGCCAAAAATGTGCCTATTAGCGCCTCTAGGTACTCAAGAAAAATCGGTTAGTGTGGTTTCGAAGAAAAAATGGTCAAATTTTACGAACACTCCTGTTCCGATTGGCCACTGCAATTTCAATTTGATTTTGAGCCGCCTAAATTTTACAATGTGTCAATTTACCCCTCTTGACAAATCTGTCGATTTTATCGTCAAGAAGAAGCAAGTAATACTCGAAACAGAAATTAGAAAGAACCGTAAACTTCATAGCTCGAATGAAATTCACTCGCATCGTCTCGCTTAAAACAGAACCAAAGGCGAATCCCAACAGTTGTGCAAACACAAACCATGACAAGAGAAGCCAAATCCCAAATGTATAAAATCTACGGCAGGACATCAGGAACTAACCTCAACAGTATACAAGGACAAGTATGGTGAAAATGATGAGTAAGAAGTAAATTCGAACGTTTTTAACACTACAAAAGAAAATCTGGAATTACCGGTGATTGTGCAACCACATTCAATGGCACTTCCGCTCGTTGTCGAGCTTTGTGCTTACTATGGGTACGACTACTTTTCTGCTTCAATTTCTGACCATTTTCTTCTGTTTCAGCTCCTTTTTTCCCCGGGCTTCCGTGTCTTCTCCCTTTACCATGACTATGGTGCTTGCTTTTTCTTGAACCTGGGTTTCCTTGATCATGCTTTTCAACACCACCCAAGTTTTCTTTAGCAGAATCAACATTTAGTTTCTCCTTCCCTTTTCTCTTACTCGATGACTTGGTGGATGCTTGACCTTGGGATGAAGTGGGATTGGTGTCACTACCTAAAAGAACGTCTCGCACGGTACCAGACAACAAATCTTCCTTCGGACGAGGGTTGGTCGCAATAGTTGCTTGATCTCCATCTAATTTCACCACCACAGGCCGAGGCTTTGCGTGGTTTGGCTTTTTCTTAGAAAGAAGTAATTGCTCTGTAAGCTTAACTAGATCTCCGTCGTCATCATTGGTACCAGCCTGTAATTTGGTATCATTGGCAGGTGGATAATCATCTTCTTTATTCGCAGAGGGAAGATAATATAAACCGTGCTGCTTACGGTGCTCCGCAAGTAGAGATGTGGATTCACTCGATGGCACTGGCTCTTCTTTGCTTTCATGGATAGGAATAGAAAAACCAGCTCTCTCCTCATACTGCGGGCTTCCAAGAGAGAATGAATTTAATGAAGGTAGTTGAACATCACCGAAGATTGTTTCCAAATCTTCAAGATTCTCCGCAAGCACTAACCCATCTGGTACAGGAACTCTTTCTTGAGCACTTACCGAGACAGGACCTAGATCATTTGAAAAGGCATCATGCATCAATTTGATGATTTGAGACGCTTGTACTCCTTCCCTTTCCAAACTTTCTTCCTTCTGTACTGGACTATCAAGCAGATCTCGCTTAATCAACTCGGTGAAACAAAGTATATTTCGTGCTCTCTCTAGTATTTCTACATCATAGCTTCCTGTTAGGGGAACCACAGCCAATTCAACTCGATTTAAAAGGTTTACGATAGATTCATGTGTGAAACTATCCTTCAATGAAGACGATGCAGATGCTTGCCCAAGAGTAGCAGTTTCCTCCCCACCATGTTCCACTGAAAGACCTTCAAAAGACTGATCAAAAACCCTTGGGTTGAATCCTTCATCCTGTTTGCAATGCACAGGAGCATCACATGATGCCAAACTAGAACTCTCTGGGCCATCTCGTTCCGAAACCAATCCTGGAACATCTGGCACCACTCTATCAAAAGTTGAGGAGGAAGCAGCATTCCCCCTCTGCAAAAGGTAAGCATTTAGACAAAAGATAAAAACTTTGAGAGCAGACTGTACATATACCGCTCTTATAGATGGTGGCAAGAGAGTTGTACGAGGTTGTAATAGTGCCTCCATGAGTTCAAATGGGTTTACTGAGAACTCAACATATTGCCCTGACAGCCAAGCAGCAGCTGACAACATCCTGTGTAAGAATGGATTACCAAGTAATGCAGGATCAATCAGCAGATCACGACTAACCCGTACAAGCTCTGGTCTAACATCCTTGACCCTCATACCAATATCAATAAGTTGCTTCTCAATTTCTTCCCCCTGCTGGCAATGCAGGATCCTCGACATTTCTCCCAAAAGTGATACATACCAATCAAAGTCCACAATAATCTCATATACATCACTGCAGCATGTTGATAAAATGGAACCAAGAATCTCATTGCAAAACTCTGGATCAGATTTAAGAGCATAATTGACCAAAACCCTGCAAATTTCAGCCACATTATTCTCGGATACCATTGCCATAACAAGACGCAAAGACTCCAGCTTGATATTCGAATCCACATCACTCAAAGACTTAATCACAACCTCCTTATTCTCCAAAACTGCCCACAAATGCTTTGTTGCAACAACTGAAAGTGCCTGCAATGCGAGATACTTAAGATTCGGATCATCATCAACTAGCATTTCGCGAATTTTGACAACCACCACCTTCACTGCAGATTCATAATCACTCAAACTGGTCACCACAGTCCTAATACACTCAAACAGCAACGATTTGGCCCCGGTCCTCCTGATATGATCACATACCGGCTCAACAACTCTTTTAGCCAACCTAGGTTCTAAAGGGGCCAACTTTGCAAATATCTTCAACACCTTAATCAAAACCCAATTGTTCTTAGAATCAACCAGGATCTTATAAAACTCCGGCGCCAACGGAAGATACGATCTGGGTTCTCTCAAAGCAAGCTCACAAAACACCCCAACAGCCACGGACACAATCTGCGAGTCTGGACTCTCCAAATTCTCAACGAAACGCTTAAAACACACCCTCACAGCATCTGGGTATTTATCAAACACCCTCAAAAGCACGGCGATCGCTTTCTTTTGAACGAAAACCTTACTGCTACCCAGCAAGGTGAAAATCTCAGGTGTCAAATCCCTAGCAAGATCTACTGTAGCAATTCTAGAAAGGCATTCGAGCGCTAAGCTTACCTCGAACTCGTTGGTGGAGGTGAGGTCCTTGCGGAGCTGGTTGGTGATGAGGACGAGGACCGGGGTGTCGTCGGAGAAGGAGTGGGCGGCGGCGTGGTAGGCGATCTTCTTGTGGGAGAAGCGGGTGGAGGAGAGGAGCTCGACGACGTGGAAGGCGGCGAAGGACATGTCGTAGAAGTAGAGGGAGGAGAGGTAGGTGAGCTTGTGGAGGGCGTTCGCTTTGGTGTCGGCATCGGTGGATTTGACTTCGCGGCGGATTTCGTCGAGGGCTTTGGAGAGGAAGGCGGACTCGCCAATGAGCTGGAGGCGGAGGCCTTTGATTAGGTCCTCCAGCGTGCGCTGGAAGAGGTTTTCCATGAGGGAGGAACCCGCCATGGGCGGCGGAGGATTTGAGATTTGGTAATTTTTACGGTGGCGCTACACACTCTGTCCAAGGTGGGAATGTTGGGCAAAGGTGATGGCTTTTGGGTAAAAGCACTGTTCGGACTTTGGAAATAGCTCAGTCTGGTTTTTTCGTTTGTATCTATTTGATCTTGTCCAAAATAAATATATGTGAATATAATTTATTTATTTTAGTAGGTTAGAGAAAAAACTTAGTAGGGATCGAACCCGTAAATGTTGTATATAGACATGATTGTTTATGCGGTAAGCGTCATCTGCATTAATTGAAATAAAAAACACATTTGTAAGTGGTTTTTTACTACAATTGTGAAAAAGTATCGAGCTCTTACATGCTGACTTTAAGTTCAAGCTCTATCGATAGCTAATCTAACACTGAATTTAATAAAATATATCGTTTGATAAAAAAAATAATAATAATAACAAAGAACATGTTTGGAACATTGAGACATACGATTAGTTGTCGAGAATTTATTATTTCAGCAAATAAAACTTCCAAATTGATCACTTCGACTAACTTCTTAGAAAATTTGGTTATACCTTGAACTTAATTTGGTACTTAGGACGTATCAATTTACGTTTTTTTTATTTTTTTCATTAATTGAGAGTCGTATCCTTTTTTTTTTTTTTTTTTAACAAACGATCTTAGGGGTGGCTTATCCTCATGATGGGCTAATAACAATGTAGTTCAAATTCGTCTTTGGCAAGAATCGATCCTAAGACCTCTCACTTACAAGTGAAGAAGAATATCACTATACCGTAGTACTAAGTAGAAATCGAGAGTCATATTTAGTCTAATTAAATTTGAAAAAGTAATAAAAATGGTGCTGAATTTGACATTTGAAGGTAATTTGAGATTTTTACATTTTTCTTGAAATTGAGATTTTTACGTGAACATTGGCTGGAACTTGGTGAGGGGTGAGGTGGTTCTATTGATTGTGCACAGGGACAACTAGCCCAACGGGCTTTTACAAAACGCCCTGTATTATGATTATCTTTTGGTTGAAAATTTTCCAATTGCCTCTAGGTCTAGGTTGTAAAAACGGTGTATGGAGAAGCATTCGTTATGTGTTTCTTAAGAAGTATTTCGATGTTTAATAAAATTTCTAACATGTTTTATTTTATATAGAATTACTTTAGAAAAGCGCTTATTTTTAACAATTTTTGTTATATAAAATACTCTATTTGGTTGTAAGAATGTTAGGATAGAGTAATGTATGTTTAACAATTCTTCGTCGCGCAAATTTTCTTTTTTTTTTTTTGGAAAAAATATTTTTATTTAATTTTTTATAAATATTTTAATTAAATTATAAACAATAATTAATAAACCAAGAAAAAGTATTTAATTATAAAATATATGAAAATATACATACAAGATGTCCGAACATAAAAGAAAAAACTACAAGAAGTAGTCTTCTAGGTTTGATGCATCGGGCTATTGGGTATCGGCTGGGTGAAGTGGCTACAAGGTCAAAGGTGGAGCAAGATCAGGTGCTGGCATCGGGATTTGGAGGCCGGACATCTATAAGGCTCGTACGATCATACTCATCTTCTCGTCTTGGGCCGATAACTGGGCTGTAATCTCGGTTTCTCGGGCTTGTTGGGCCGCAATCTAAGGGAGAGATAGAGGTAGGTATGGAGAATTTCTGTCTTTAACATGCATGTGGCATGGCTTTGCAAAAGCCAAAAGGTCCAAGTTCTTTGTTTCATAAACAGATTCAAATCAAGTTGAACAAATTGTTTAAAACAGAAAATTTGGATGGTTTCCTTTCTCCACCAAAAACCAAAAATTTATAATAAGAAGGTTACATACTAGAACTTGGTCCTGTTTTACTTATCCAATTATTTTATGCCTAAAACGTCCTTAATGTCTTGAGTTAATTACTAGAAAAATTACAGTACCAATGATCATCCCGCATATGTGCATAACCAGTAAATGGTTTACCTTGAGAGTTGAATATTTGATGCCACTTAAAAGTAGCATTTAAAAAAACTACTTGTAATAATTAGCCAAGACAAAAACTTTAGGCAAATTCTAGAGAGCAATCATCAATCCAAAGAGACACAAACTTATATCGGTGTTATAGTTTAATTTAGTTTACATCATGTTTAAGAGCAAGGGAGGGATTGCATTTGAAAAAACAGAAAGAATTGATATCAATTCAGACTTGATTTGGTAGACATGGCCTCGGAAAGCTGCAACAAATTAAGAGCAAGGGAGGGATTGCATGATGAAGAGAGATGAAAGATTTGTATGATGAATTTAAGAGTAAGGGAGGGATTGGAGAAGGTTTTGAAGAGAGATGGGGGAGGGAGGTAGCTGCTGCAACTAGGTTTGCAGTTTCTGCCTCTCAAACTGATTAAGTGATATGGAAAAAGTCATTGACTTTGCGCGACAAAGGTGTGCATTTGTTGGGGAAATGGGTCTGCAATATCTTTTGTACATAGGAAAGTGCTTAAAGGGAAAAGAAAGCAGATTAGTGGCCAAGTTGGAAAGGGAAATGAACTAATTAACTAACTAATCAAACATTAAGGAAAGTAAAGTTAAAGTCTCGTTAATATTCGCTAATAAGAGGTTGATGAAACATCTCAACTAAAGAGGAGATTTTCTAATGAAAAGGTTTGTAGTGGATTCATTTCAATAATTCGTTAAATTGCTAGTTGCTTATAACTTCAAAGTATTATGCACATATGATACACGTCGTTTGTATTTTTTATGTTTAGCACACGTTATTTTGACACATTTTTCAATAAAACATACAAAATTCATGTTTTCTATACGTATTTTCACATATTACCGAAGAAATATAAATAAATAGTTAAAATATTAGAATAAAAATGGCCTAATTTTTCAAAATATATTTTTAGTAAAGTTACTATATAATACATGTATGTATTTCTCACGTACTACACCAATTCCGTATTTTATTAACTATGCTATTTGAACAGACCACCAAAGTCCCAAAATCATATGTACATTTTAGGTATTTAGATTTTGTGTTGAACAATTTACATGTACAGTCCTTAGTAGGCATGGTGAATCATTCATTGTGGGAAAAACTTTTCTGGAATGAAAATACATTTTTTGCTTTTTTGTCTCTCGTGACGTGAAGATATGAATTTATGCATGTAAATTCTTCTCATACTACGTGACGAGAGACAAAAAAAAATTATCATATATATTATGACATGCAAGTTCTTTTCTTACAATGACACACCCCAACCGAGATCAGGGCATGCTGGCCGTCACGTGGAAGTGACGTAGCCATGTGCACAATGCGGAAGCTAAAAACAGTAATGGAAAATTACGAATAATTTAAAACTAGCAAATATAATGTGATAAAGTATGTGCTAGCAAAAGTAAGACGCTTAATTCAGAGCTTTAAGCCTACAGCAGTCCAAAAGAAACGATACAACAATAGTGCACCCGAAGGTAACCCTACGTAGGTGAGTGTCTGTCAGAATGCCGGGACGTCCTTCGGGAAAACCACCAAACCCGCTAAGCTACTAGAACCTGGAGGGGAGCAAAACAAAAGCGTGAGTGGGAAAAAACAAATCTCTTTGAAAACCACTTCATAAAACATATTATAACCCCTCGCCGTAAAACCTGTATACTTTCCCAGAAATAAACATATATACGTAGATATGCCAAGTCATGCTCAAGGGTAAGCCAATCATGCTCACAGGTATGCCATCACAAAACCTCATAATATCATGCATAACCATCAATCATATAAAAAGAATGGCATAAAACGAAGCATTTATACTAATTTCTGGGAAATAGTATGTATATAGGTATATACGGAAAACAAAAGCCCACTCACTGGTATGTAGAAGGGTCGTAGCCCCCCTGCCTCGAGTGTGCACGCTCGTCCTCGGGATACGTGTCACCTATATGCGAATTAACTATAAAAACGTTAACTTTAAAGTACATAACCGTCCGTTCAAAATAACTTCTCATACATTGCTCAAAATGGACAAATAAATATACCAACGTGATCTACACAACCTCACGATCACACCCATAATTTTTGGACCATCCACGCGCCCTCACGCGCCAACATAGACACGGACCCACGCGCCCCCACGCGCGGCCACGTGCCATGCACACTGACGGCGTCAAGTGACGCCGTCAGGAATATTCCCTTAATTCAACGGAATATTCCGTTAAACCTAACTGACGCCGTCAACGTCCGTTAGGAATATTCCGTTAAACTCAACGGAATATCCCCCTTTCTTCCCCGGCCAGTCCCCCTCACCGGCGCTGTCGCCGGAAACCTGCAACTCGCCATAACTCGCTCGTTTTTCCACCTTTTTTCATGTTTCTTGCACCAAAATCAACCTTAGAACTAATAGAACACGATCCTACAAGTTTTAAGGCCTAAAACTACAAGATTATACCTGTCCAAAACTCCAAAACTCGACCAACTTCGAACCAAGCTTTCCCGACGTCCAAAATTGTCCAACGAAGCACTCCCAAGCTCCTGGGAACCTCACAAACACAACTACAAGCTTCAAAAGTCCAAAAACAAGCTAGAATAAGTTTGCATGAATAGTGCTCAAATCGGAAAACCTCGAATCGACGTGAAAATGGTGGTTTCCCTACCTGAAAATGGTACGTCAGTGCTCCCCTCGACCTCACGATCACAACTACACCCTTGGTTTCCTCGATCTGTCCAGGTTTGAAGGGTTGTGTGGGTGTTCGTACGTTTTTGTTTGAAGAAGAAGAAGAATAAAGGACTCGGGGGAGAGAGAGAGAGAGAGACAGTGACAGAGGGTGAGGGATAGAGATAGGATGTGTGTGTGTGGTCCAACTTTGGTCAACACCACACAAAACAACCAAAAACGTAATAAAAACAAACTAGGGGTAAAACGGTCAAATCACATGTACGTTTCTATATTTCCGGGACGGGATGTCACATACAACGTGGTTGAATATTCGTTAAAGTTGATGAATGACTTCAAACATAGACTCTTTTGCTTGATTAGCAAGTTAATATAATATCGTGTCAATTATCCCACCAAACCTTGAAACAGTAATCTCCCCAATTGATCCACGTCATAGTTTAGACCTTAAACATATTTTATTTATGCTCAAGCAACTAAAGATACAA